CTGTCTCTGCCTCTGCCTCTGTCTCTGTCTCTGCCTCTGTCTCTGTCTCTGCCTCTGTCTCTGTCTCTGCCTCTGTCTCTGTCTCTGCCTCTGTCTCTGTCTCTGCCTCTGTCTCTGTCTCTGCCTCTGTCTCTGTCTCTGCCTCTGTCTCTGTCTCTGCCTCTGCCTCTGTCTCTGCCTCTGTCTCTGTCTCTGTCTCTGCCTCTGTCTCTGTCTCTGCCTCTGCTCTGTCTGTCTCTGCCTCTGTCTCTGTCTCTGCCTCTGTCTCTGCCTCTGTCTCTGTCTCTGCCTCTGTCTCTGCCTCTGCCTCTGTCTCTCTGCCTCTGTCTCTGTCTCTGCCTCTGTCTCTGCTCTGTCTCTGTCTCTGTCTCTGTCTCTGCCTCTGTCTCTGTCTCTGCCTCTGCCTCTGTCTCTGCCTCTGTCTCTGTCTCTGCCTCTGTCTCTGTCTCTGCCTCTGTCTCTGTCTCTGCCTCTGTCTCTGTCTCTGTCTCTGTCTCTGTCTCTGCCTCTGTCTCTGTCTCTGTCTCTGTCTCTGTCTCTGCCTCTGTCTCTGTCTCTGCCTCTGTCTCTGTCTCTGTCTCTGTCTCTGTCTCTGTCTCTGCCTCTGCCTCTTTCTGTGTCTCTGCCTCTGTCTCACCGACATGTCTCTCTCTCTGTCTCTGTCTCTGTCGCTGTCTCTGCCTCTGTCTCTGTCTCTGTCTCTGTCTCTGTCTCTGTCTCTGCCTCTGCCTCTTTCTGTGTCTCTGCCTCTGTCTCACCGACATGTCTCTCTCTCTGTCTCTGTCGCTGCCTCTGCCTCTGTCTCTGTCTCTGCCTCTGTCTCTGTCTCTGCCTCTGTCTCTGCCTCTGCCTCTGTCTCTGTCTCTGTCTCTGTCTCTGCCTCTGTCTCTGTCTCTGCCTCTGTCTCTGTCTCTGCCTCTGTCTCTGCCTCTGTCTCTGTCTCTGCCTCTGCCTCTGTCTCTGCCTCTGTCTCTGCCTCTGCCTCTGTCTCTGTCTCTGTCTCTGTCTCTGCCTCTGTCTCTGCCTCTGTCTCTGCCTCTGTCTCTGTCTCTGCCTCTGTCTCTGTCTCTGCCTCTGCCTCTGTCTCTGTCTCTGTCTCTGCCTCTGTCTCTGTCTCTGCCTCTGTCTCTGTCTCTGCCTCTGTCTCTGTCTCTGCTCTGTCTCTGTCTCTGTCTCTGCCTCTGTCTCTGTCTCTGTCTCTGCCTCTGTCTCTGCCTCTGTCTCTGTCTCTGCCTCTGTCTCTGTCTCTGTCTCTGTCTCTGTCTCTGTCTCTGCCTCTGCCTCTCTGTGTCTCTGCCTCTGTCTCTGCCTCTGTCTCTGTCTCTGCCTCTGTCTCTGCCTCTGTCTCTCTCTGTCTCTGCTCTCTCTGTCTCTGCCTCTGTCTCTGCTCTGCCTCTCTGTCTCTGTCTCTGTCTCTGTCTCTGTCCTCTGCTCTGTCTCTGTCCTCTGTCTCTGCCTCTGTCTCTGTCTCTGCCTCTGTCTCTGTCTCTGCCTCTGCCTCTGTCTCTGTCTCTGTCTCTGCCTCTGTCTCTGCCTCTGTCTCTGTCTCTGTCTCTGTCTCTGCCTCTGTCTCTGTCTCTGCCTCTGTCTCTGTCTCTGCCTCTGTCTCTGCCTCTGTCTCTGTCTCTGCCTCTGCCTCTGCCTCTGTCTCTGCCTCTGCCTCTGTCTCTGTCTCTGTCTCTGTCTCTGTCTCTGCCTCTGTCTCTGCCTCTGTCTCTGTCTCTGCCTCTGTCTCTGTCTCTGCCTCTGCCTCTGTCTCTGTCTCTGCCTCTGTCTCTGCCTCTGTCTCTGTCTCTGCCTCTGCCTCTGTCTCTGTCTCTGCCTCTGTCTCTGTCTCTGCCTCTGCCTCTGTCTCTGCCTCTGTCTCTGTCTCTGTCTCTGCCTCTGTCTCTGTCTCTGTCTCTGCCTCTGCCTCTGTCTCTGTCTCTGCCTCTGCCTCTGTCTCTGCCTCTGTCTCTGCCTCTGCCTCTGTCTCTGTCTCTGCCTCTGTCTCTGCCTCTGTCTCTGCCTCTGCCTCTGTCTCTGCCTCTGTCTCTGCCTCTGCCTCTGTCTCTGCCTCTGTCTCTGTCTCTGCCTCTGCCTCTGTCTCTGTCTCTGTCTCTGCCTCTGCCTCTGTCTCTGTCTCTGCCTCTGCCTCTGTCTCTGCCTCTGTCTCTGCCTCTGCCTCTGTCTCTGTCTCTGCCTCTGTCTCTGCCTCTGTCTCTGCCTCTGCCTCTGTCTCTGCCTCTGCCTCTGCCTCTGCCTCTGTCTCTGTCTCTGTCTCTGCCTCTGCCTCTGTCTCTGTCTCTGCCTCTGCCTCTGTCTCTGCCTCTGCCTCTGCCTCTGTCTCTGTCTCTGCCTCTGTCTCTGTCTCTGCCTCTGTCTCTGCCTCTGTCTCTGTCTCTGTCTCTCTCTCTGTCTCTGTCTCTGCCTCTGTCTCTCTCTCTGTCTCTGCCTCTGTCTCTGCCTCTGCCTCTGTCTCTGTCTCTACCTCTGCCTCTGCCTCTGCCTCTGTCTCTGTCTCTGTCTCTGTCTCACCGACATGTCTCTGTCTCTCTCTCTGTCTCACCGACATGTCTCTGTTTCTGTAGAATTGAAGAGACCTGGAAGTTGTGGCAGAAGTTTCTGGAAGATTACACTCGATACGACGACTGGCTGAAGACTTCTGAGAAAATTGCTGCTTTGCCAAATTCCTCCAACGTCCTGTACACTGTGGCCAAGGAGGAGCTGAAGAAGTTTGAGGCAAGGATAAGAACACTAAATAAGATTATAATGCGATAAAATCATATAACTTTATTGATCTGTGATGTCACATTTGGCACGGATAGAAGTATTATGGCAATTAAAGAAACAGTGGCAATAGCAGCAGGTTTCTCTTTAATTCCAGATATTAAATCCCAGATCAGCTGTGTGATTTGTGTGATTGTTTTTCAGGCGTTTCAGAGGCAGGTCCATGAAAGTTTGTCCCAATTGGAGGTGATAAATAAGCAGTACCAGCGTTTGGCTCGAGAGAATCGCACTGACTCCAGCTGCAGACTGAAGGACATGGCCAACGACGCTAACCAGAGGTGGGACGACCTGCAGAAGAGAGTGGGCTCCATCCTGCGCAGACTCAAGGCACGTCTCACATTTCATTCTGTTCTGTCAAGGCCAGTCCTAAGACTCTATGCAGTGGATATTTTTGTAATTTATGTTTTATTTCATGTTTGTTTTCACAGCACTTTATAAATCAGAGAGAGGAGTTTGAAACAGCCAGAGATGGGATCCTGGTTTGGCTGACGGAGATGGATCTGCAGCTCACCAACATCGAACATTTCTCTGAGTGTGACATTCAGGCCAAGATCAAACAACTCAGGGTCAGTCCACCAAAATAATATATGTACTGTATATACAGAAAGTTCCATAATATCCCAGTGCTCTACTTGTTTTCTTTTATATATATTTATGTTCATGAACATCCATAAAAACACACACACAGGTCCATGGCTGAAACCAAAATAACATTATAATTATAATTAAGATCGTTAACAAAGACATTTCCTTTAGGCCTGTTCCTCATGAGCAGCTCTCGTTAGATCCATGAACCCTCGATGGAGACGGTTCCACCACATTTCTTAAACCTCTGGCACCTGCAGTGGGGTAAAAAGTAAAAGGTCCCACTTCTCTGTAACTGTGAGACAAAATCAGTCAGAGCAATGATGTTTTAGGACTGTCCCTCCTGGACCTTAAACTGCTTCTTATTAATGCTTCTCTTCGTATTTCAAATGAATTGATCAAATTTGGCTGGTTCCACTGTAAATTCGTCTCCATGAGCTGAAATCAAATGAATACATTAAACGCTGTAGTCTGCCAGTCTGTCATGATACAACATCTAAATTGTAGAGTTCTATTTTAAGATGATCTTCTCTCTGTTCCAGTCCTTCCAGCAGGAGATCTCTCTGACCACAGCTAAAATCCAGCAGATCTTTCATCAGGGGGAGGCTCTGATAGAGAAGAGCGAGCCCCTGGACTCTACTGTGATCGAGGAGGAGCTGGAGGAGCAGCAACGATACTGTCAGGAGGTGTTCGGACGAGTCGAGAGATACTACAAGAAACTCATACGTCTGCCTGTGAGTAAAATCACATGTTAGTAAGTAAGCTTGGATCAGGCCTTTCCCAGACCAGGGTCACAGTTTCAATTTCACATACTCATTTAGGGGCCAAAGAGAAGGTCAAGATAAACTCATTAAACTCAGCAGCCCCTAGAAAGGCCAAAACAAAAGTACAAAAATAGGACTGAAGCTGACTTTTGAAGGAGACTTCAGATCGTTTCAAATCCTGGGAGCTGCTGGAACCATCATCGCGTCTGATCCATGGACTTCAGAGCAACCCTCAGATCATTGAACAAGTTGATCCTACAGAACATAAGCACCAGCGTTTTACACTAGCAGTAGACTAGTTTCAGGGTGTAGTGCATTTGGTTTTCAGGTCATATATTTGAATCAGAAGTGAAATACAGTATGTACATTATCAGAATCAAGTATTCATCGGCGACCACTGCTCCTGACGTCAGCCTTTGCGGCATCAGGATGGGTCAAATGCAGAGGATTGAATTGCCCTACGAGGATTAATAAAGTGCATCTTTACCTTTACCTCATCTAGTATAAGCTTTTAGACGTTTCATGTTGATATCAGCCTGCTCGGGGACTACGTACCCAGTGCACTGTTTCTCTCCAAATAAAACAAAACATATCAAAGTCCTAACATTGTGTTGCCAGGTCCTACTCTTTATGCAGGATGTGCTTCAGCTGTTACTAGTGCCCATTTGTGTTGTTTATTTGCAGCTTACAGACGACGATACCGAAGTGTCCTTCTCAGACCGAGAGCTGGAGCTGGACGAGGCTGGGGACATGTCCAGTGTCCCGTGGAGCGAGCGCTTAGGAGACGGTCTCCAGTCGCCTCTGCCCTCGTCCGGACGCTCTCTGGCGGCTCAGCTCAGGACGGAGCACTCTGGACGTGACACTCCTGCAAGTGTGGACTCCATCCCGCTGGAGTGGGATCATGACTACGACCTGAGCCGAGGTCTGGAGAGCGCCAGCCGGGCCCTGAGGGAGCAGCAGAGCGAGGAGGGGGACTTCCTCCAGAGAGCTGCCTCTGCCCTGTCCGGTCAGTGGAGCAAGGAGTCACTATGGGGTCAAACTGAACACACTATGAAGCAAGGAGTCTCTATGGGGTCAAACTGAACACACTATGAAGCAAGGAGTCTCTATGGGGTCAAACTGAACACACTATGAAGCAAGGAGTCACTATGGGGTCAAACTGAACACACTATGAAGCAAGGAGTCTCTATGGGGTCAAACTGAACACACTATGAAGCAAGGAGTCACTATGGGGTCAAACTGAACACACTATGAAGCAAGGAGTCTCTATGGGGTCAAACTGAACAGCATTGTGAAATGATAAATAAAAAACATTGAATTCCCCAACCATCTGACAGAAAGTAAACCTATGTCCTGCTGTGGCTGTTCTGTGTTGAATGCATTGTACGGTGTTTCTTACAGATGTAGAGATTCCAGAGAGCCCTGAAGCCTTTGTTAAACTAACTGAGCAAACTCTGAGGTCTTCCACTGGTATGAACTGCAGCAGGCCCGACGCATGATCCAGGACCTTTAATAACCTACATGACTAATCCTCTCTCCTGGGTTCTGGGATCTGAGTTTACTTTCATTTTCTCTCATTGATTGGACACTTAACCCAGACGATAGGGTCAATTATACTTGAATTCCGTCCAATCAAGTTTGGCGGTGGTAAAATGTAATTGACATTATCTGATGGTTTAACACGCCTTATTATTTGGTGTTGCAGTGTTCTGTGTATCTAACTTTCTTGTAGCAGTTTGTTGATAACTTGTAATTAAAAGTGGACTGAGAATCACTGCCCTCTACTTTAATGAGGCAGCTTTTTCTGCCTGATCGTTTATTTGATCTGATCCTCTGTCTACTTTTAAAGAAACAAATACACACTGTTGTTTAGTTGAGCATGTTGTTTTTAAATCATTCAATATTTAACATTCTTTTAAATCTGTCAATATCTGTCTTTTTCTGAGCTCCATTCTCACAGAGACACAATTAACTACTAGATGTTTACACTATTACTCAAATCCGCCACTAGCCTCTGTGTTAATGGGACCCCAGCTGCTCTCTGGTTAACTCATTACAGTCCATAACAAAATGTAAAATGTACTTTTGTTTTTGCAACCAGGGGAAGCAGCCTCCACAGACTCCCCGTCACTGGACATCCTTCGTTTCCACCAATCAGAGCGCAGCCGAACTCCAACAGGAGCGGAGCTGGATGGGTCTTATATGGGATATGTACGCTCTCCCCAGTTTGACAGACGTTTGTAGCCTTTTGTGTAGAACAATAAGCTTATGTTTTGTCTGTGTTTGCAAGCTGAGACTGCTGGGTGAGTGCAGAGGAAGCATAGACACAGTGAAGAGGATGGAGTTTGAGCTGAAAGAAGATGAAGATTCAGCTTCAGGACTCGCGGATCCAAACAGCTCTGAGTCCCAGACCTCCGGTACCTTTCATATCTGTGCAGAGATGGGTCATAAGATCTGGTGAAATGTTGAATGTGTGTTTGGTGGATCCTGGTGCTCTCTTCAGGTGTGATCGAGCGCTGGGAGCTGCTGCAGGCTCAGGACTTGAGCAAAGAGCTGCGAACGAAGCAGCGGCAGCAGCAGTGGCAGCAGCTGAACTCAGACCTGAACAACATCTGGAGCTGGTTAGGAGAAACAGAAGAACATCTGGAGCTTCAGATGAGACTGAACCTCAGCACGGAGATCCGAACCATCGAGCAGCGCATCAAGAAACTGAAGGTAACAGCCGATATTTGTGCGTGCTGTTGCTAAAAATACAATACAAGGATAAACTACAACCACTGCTATTCACTACTGCTGTGGTGTCTTCAGACTCTTATGCCTCGAATGAATGTGGTGTGGGAGTGATGAGCGGTGACCCCAGGGCTGAAGCTACAGCAGTATTAGTATTGTCACATATGAATTATACTCAAAAGAGCCTCCGGAAGAAAGACGCAAGACAAATTGCATGAATATTATTTGTGCACAGACTCACACACCATCTTCCTTGTGAATAAATTACTCAATAAAACTGCATGACGGTGCAGTCAAACAAAAATACATCAACGTATAGCTGCAATCTGAATTTAAAACTGATAAAACAGATTACATCTATTGTTCTTCTTATCCACAGGAGTTGCAGAAGGCCTACGACAAGAGGAAGGCCATTGTTCTCTCCATAAACCTGTGCAGTGGAGAGTTTGTGCGCTCAGAGTCTGTGGAGTCCAGAGAACTTCAAATAAAACTCAAAGATATGAACAACCAGTGGGACAGACTGGGTTTGTCTCTGGACCAGTGGAGGACCTCGTTACAGGAGGCTCTTATGCAATGTCAGGTACGACCCACACACTTTTATGCATGTATTTTATATATTCTTTATTTTCAGACATTATGACTGTACTTTTCCTCCAGGACTTCCATGAGATGAGCCACGGTTTGTTGCTCTGGTTGGAAAACATAGACCGCAGGAGGAATGAGGTGGTTCCTATTGACCCAATTCTGGACAGTGACACTCTGCAGCAGCATCACAAGACACTGACGGTACAAAACAACATATTTAAACCAAACCTCACATGGAAAATCTATGCTTTAAAATGACAGTAACTGACTTTTTCTCCACAGCAAATCCGCCAGGAGCTCTTGGACTCGCAGCTGAAGGTCGCCTCGCTCCAGGACATGTCGCTGCAGTTGCTGGTCAACGCTCAGGGCGGAGACTGTCTGGAGGCCAAAGAGAAAGTCCACGTCATCGGGAACAGACTCAAACTGCTTCTGAAGGAGGTGACCCGGGATCTGAGAGAGCTGGCCAAGATATTAGACATCACAAGCAGTCAGCAGGTTCGTCAGGCGGTTTGAATATGACATCGATTCAGCCATCTGTAAAGGACTCTCTTTTTAACGGGTTCTGTGCATTTCAATCTGGAGAGACTACACGGACACATTTCATTAAATTACTTTATTCATTAGTTTGTTTGGCTCTAGGCCCTGGCACTCAGTCTGAAGATCATTCTTTTTGTGCCGCTTATGATCCTCCGGGACTTAGGTACTGGTGACATGAGACCTCTTAGGTACTGGTGACATGAGACCTCTTAGGTACTGCTGACATGAGACATAGGTACTGGTGACATGAGACATAGGTACTGCTGACATGAGACCTCTTAGGTACTGCTGACATGAGACTTCTTAGGTACTGCTGACATGAGACCTCTTAGGTACTGCTGACATGAGACCTCTTAGGTACTGCTGACATGAGACCTCTTAGGTACTGGTGACATGAGACCTCTTAGGTACTGCTGACATGAGACCTCTTAGGTACTGGTGACATGAGACCTCTTAGGTACTGGTGACATGAGACCTCTTAGGTACTGCTGACATGAGACTTCTTAGGTACTGCTGACATGAGACCTCTTAGGTACTGCTGACATGAGACCTCTTAGGTACTGGTGACATGAGACATAGGTACTGCTGACATGAGACCTCTTAGGTACTGCTGACATGAGACTTCTTAGGTACTGGTGACATGAGACATAGGTACTGCTGACATGAGACCTCTTAGGTACTGGTGACATGAGACCTCTTAGGTACTGGTGACATGAGACCTCTTAGGTACTGGTGACATGAGACCTCTTAGGTACTGGTGACATGAGACCTCTTAGGTACTGCTGACATGAGACCTCTTAGGTACTGGTGACATGAGACCTCTTAGGTACTGCTGACATGAGACCTCTTAGGTACTGCTGACATGAGACCTCTTAGGTACTGGTGACATGAGACCTCTTAGGTACTGGTGGTAGCATCAGGGTTCGGTTCCCAAACTTCCTTCTGATTTTGAACAACTCCCTGATTGGCACAGGTTGGCGTAGGTTAACGTAGGTTGACACAGGTTGGTCTGGGTTGGTCTAGGTTGGCACAGGTTGGCCTAGGTTGGCACAGGTTGGCCTAGGTGGGCAGTGCTGTGTGATTGGCCGAGGGTAAAAGGCTGTCTTCTATTGGTTGCAGCAGCGAGTCTACCAGACTGAACCTACGCAGGCTTCATGTTTAACCATCCAAACAAACAGTTGAAGAATGTAGAGTCTATTTTAATTTACTTTTCTGTCTTTGAACCTTCTAAACCTTTAAGTGACTTTAGTTTCACACCCAACTGTACCTGAGCTAGCTTGTTCTCTAAAGTAAAGCCGTCTCCCGTTGATTCTAGTCCTTTGACGGTTTGTCGCTCCTTTGTCAGGACCTGTCCTCTTGGTCTTCGGCGGATGATCTGGACACGTCTGGATCCCTCAGTCCGGTCTCAGGGAGGAGCACCCCGAGCCGACGCAGATCGGTAACAAACAGACCCATAATTGTTAGAATGCGCTACATAAATAAACATGACTCACTTACATGACATTTTCACCAATTCACTGAATGAGTTTGGGTTAAGTTCCACGACTGGCCCTGAATGCTCCGTCCTGAGGCCAGCTCCACACACCTCCTCCATCCCCAACTCTCTTTCCTGCATCTCTGTGGTTCTCAAACTGTGGCACAAGTACCAAGGGGTGTCAGCATTTTGCCGTGGAGCGATTTTCAACTCTTTTGCTCGGTATAAAGAACTGGTTTTGTTGTTTCTGTCCTGTTTACGTGTCGTTAGTGTGCGTTTGAGAACCACGTGTGTGAGCTTCACTGTCCTACTTCCTTTCCTCTCTCCTACTTCCTTTCCTCTCTCCTACTTCCTTTCCTCTCTCCTACCTTTTTCCGTGCCTTTCCTCTTTGATCTTTTGCTCATTTTTATTTTTTTATACTGAAAAGCTTTATATTTCACCAGTTAATTATTATTATTGTTTCTACTTTCTGGCAAGAAGTTCCCGTCTTGCAAATCTTCTTCTCGTTTGTATCAATCCTGACTTTGTTTGAGCAAACTCTCTCCTGAAACACAAACAAAACACATTTATATGTCTTTAAATAATGAATCACGCATGGCTTAGATTAAGTTAATACAATTTAACATCAGTCCAAATAAGCTCGCCACATCCTGCTTCAAAGTTGTTTTGCACAAAAAAACAACTTATGAAAAGCTGTAATTTTATTATGATTTTGCTTCTAATTGTTTTGGACTTCACAGACAGTTTTGTTCATCGTTTGCCTGGACTGAAAAATACTTTGTTTCTTTCACCCCTCCCCCCTGTTCATTGCAAACAGCAACGGGGCAAAAGTAGTGGGTCACAGCCCGGAGCGTCTGTGAGCGGTCGCAGCCCAAGGTACATGTCTGTTTCTAGCACACACAGAAGGTAATGGAACTCACAACCACAAGGCATTCTGGGATATCTGTGTCAAAGCCTTTGGGAATGAGCAAAGCCAAAGCAGAGGCTGGACCGTGACTTCCATCATCTTCTGCAGGTCTAGACCCTGTGTTGCGTGAGGCAGCCCAGAGCCAGAGCAAGGAGCAGTGGACAGTTGGCAGGAGAACACTCAGAATGTTCACAATGATTCTCTAACGACGTTTAGTCTCAGCTGCAGCTCGCAGACTAACGCCGCGGCGCGTGGGAACTGTGCCCGTTTCATCTTCTCCTTTCTGATTAAGTGGCACATTCTTTCTTTGTATGAAATGACAAGATGAAACTTATTGCGCGATACTAATTTATTTTCAATTTGAGCAGAAAGAATCACATTGGTCTTGTCTTTGTTTTACCAGTGTGAGATAAACATAATCATATAATGTAGAACTTTCATTAATCGTTAAGGTTCATAAAACAAAAAGGACAAAGTCATAATGACGACTGGGTTCCTACTTCAAAGCTGGAGTGCCTGGTTTTCTTTATTATATGTTATTAAACGTTTAGTTTGACCCAATAGAAGGTTATGGTTTGCACGATTGTGAGAAAGAGCCCTTTGAGTCAGTATTTGACTCTTAAGTCCGTGCATGTGAAAACTGGTGATAGATTCAAACTGTTTTGAGAACGAGGAACTAGTTATAGGGATTTTATGATATGGGTTTTATAGTTGTTTAAAAGTTACGTATCTCAGCTTTAATACATGATCTAGTAAGTAAGTCAAGTTTATTCATGTAGTGCCTTTCACAGACCAGGATCACAAAGCACTCTCAGCAAGAAGGTTCTGGGTTGGAATCCCGGTCGGACCAGGGCCTTTCTGAGTGGAGTTTGCATGTTCTCCCTGTGTCTGCGTAGGTTTCCTCCAGGTGCTCCGGTACAATAGGTCTGTGCCTCCTGTACTGGCCCCTCCCATCTCTGTGTGGAGGGAGAGTGCCCACAATTGTAAACCGCTTTGACTCTGGTCTGAGAAAGGCGCTATAACTTAGTGCACAAGTCAGTTCCATAAAAACATCATGAACACACTTCAGACGGGCCTAGGCTGAGCAGACTGTAGGTCCTCCTGTCCCCCTCCACTGCTGCCTCAGAGTCAGTCCCATGTATTAAACACAAGCCTCTTCTGCTTAACATCGCTGATCCGGTACCTGTGCTCACACGACTCTGATCCAACTGTACCTTTTAACACTAACTCCTTTTGGCTGTACCTGAGCTCACACGACTCTGATCCAACTGTACCTTTACACACCTAACTCCTTTTGGCTGTACCTGTGCTCACACGACTCTGATCCAACTGTACCTTTTAACACCTAACTCCTTTTGGCTGTACCTGTGCTCACACGACTCTGATCCAACTGTACCTTTTAACACCTAACTCCTTTTGGCTGTACCTGAGCTCACACGACTCTGATCCAACTGTACCTTTTAACACTAACTCCTTTTGGCTGTACCTGTGCTCACACGACTCTGATCCAACTGTACCTTTACACACCTAACTCCTTTTGGCTGTACCTGAGCTCACACGACTCTGATCCAACTGTACCTGAGCTCACAGCCCTTCTCTCCAGTAATGTCTGCAATGAACAATACAGCGCTTCACTCTTTGCTCTTTTTCTCTTTTGTTACATTTTCTACTCGTGCTGCTTCTTTCATCATCTCCTCTCTGTCTGTCTCTGTCTGTGGTCTCTGTCTGTCTCTGTCTGTCTCTGTCTGTGGTCTCTGTCTGTCTCTGTCTGTCTCTGTCTGTCTCTGTCTGTCTCTGTCTGTCTCTGTCTGTGGTCTCTGTCTGTCTCTGTCTGTCTCTGTCTGTCTCTGTCTGTCTCTGTCTGTCTCTGTCTGTCTCTGTCTGTGGTCTCTGTCTGTCTCTGTCTGTCTCTGTCTGTCTCTGTCTGTGGTCTCTGTCTGTCTCTGTCTGTGGTCTCTGTCTGTCTCTGTCTGTCTCTGTCTGTGGTCTCTGTCTGTCTCTGTCTGTCTCTGTCTGTGGTCTCAGTCTGTCTCTGTCTGTGGTCTCAGTCTGTCTCTGTCTGTGGTCTCAGTCTGTCTCTGTCTGTGGTGTCAGTCTGTCTCTGTCTGTCTCTGTCTGTGGTCTCTGTCTGTCTCTGTCTGTGGTCTCCGTCTGTCTCTGTCTGTGGTCTCCGTCTGTCTCTGTCTGTCTCTGTCTGTGGTCTCCGTCTGTCTCTGTCTGTCTCTGTCTGTGGTCTCCGTCTGTCTCTGTCTGTGGTCTCTGTCTGTCTCTGTCTGTGGTCTCCGTCTGTCTCCGTCTGTCTCTGTCTGTCTCTGTCTGTGGTCTCTGTCTGTCTCTGTCTGTCTCTGTCTGTGGTCTCTCAGTCTGTGGTCTCAATCTGTCTCATTCTGTGGTCTCTGAGTCTGTGGTCTCTCTCTGTGGTCTGTCTCTGTGGTCTGAGTGTGTCTCTGTCTGTGGTCTCTGTCTGTGGTCTCAGTCTGTGGTCTCAGTCTGTGGTCTCTCAGTCTGTGGTCTCAGTCTGTGGTCTCTCAGTTTGTGGTTTCAGTCTGTGGTCTCAGTCTATGGTCTGAGTCTGTGGTCTCAGTCTGTGTTCTGAGTCTGTGGTCTCAGTCTGTGGTCTCTCAGTCTGTGGTCTCTGTCTGTGGTCTCTCTCTGTGGTCTCTGAGTCTGTGGTCTCTGTCTGTGGTCTCAGTCTGTGGTCTGAGTCTGTGGTATCTCTCTGTGGTCTGAGTCTGTCTCTGTCTGTGGTCTCAGTCTGTGGTCTCAGTCTGTGGTCTCAGTCTGTGGTCTCTGAGTCTGTGGTCTCTGTCTGTGGTCTCAGTCTGTGGTCTGAGTCTGTGGTCTCTCTCTGTGGTCTGAGTCTGTCTCTGTCTGTGGTCTCAGTCTGTGGTCTCAGTCTGTGGTCTCTGAGTCTGTGGTCTCTGTCTGTGGTCTCAGTCTGTGGTCTGAGTCTGTGGTCTCTCTCTGTGGTCTGAGTCTGTCTCTGTCTGTGGTCTCTGTCTGTGGTCTCAGTCTGTGGTCTGAGTCTGTGGTCTCAGTCTGTGGTCTGAGTCTGTGGTCTCTCTCTGTGGTCTCAGTCTGTGGTCTCAGTCTGTGGTCTGAGTCTGTGGTCTCAGTCTGTGGTCTGAGTCTGTGGTCTCAGTCTGTGGTCTGAGTCTGTGGTCTCTCTCTGTGGTCTCAGTCTGTGGTCTCTCTGTCTGTGGTCTCTCTCTGTGGTCTCAGTCTGTGGTCTCTCAGTCTGTGGTCTGAGTCTGTGGTCTCAGTCTGTGGTCTCTCTGTCTGTGGTCTCTCTCTGTGGTCTCAGTCTGTGGTCTCTCAGTCTGTGGTCTGAGTCTGTGGTCTCTGTCTGTGGTCTCAGTCTGTGGTCTCTCAGTCTGTGGTCTGAGTCTGTGGTCTCTGTCTGTGGTCTCTGTCTGTGGTCTCAGTCTGTGGTCTGAGTCTGTGGTCTCTGTCTGTGGTCTCAGTCTGTGGTCTGAGTCTGTGGTCTCTCTCTGTGGTCTCAGTCTGTGGTCTCTCTGTCTGTGGTCTCTCTCTGTGGTCTCAGTCTGTGGTCTCTCAGTCTGTGGTCTGAGTCTGTGGTCTCAGTCTGTGGTCTCTCTGTCTGTGGTCTCTCTCTGTGGTCTCAGTCTGTGGTCTCTCTCTCTGTGGTCTCAGTCTGTGGTCTCTCTGTCTGTGGTCTCTCTCTGTGGTCTGAGTCTGTGGTCTCTGTCTGTGGTCTCTGTCTGTGGTCTGAGTCTGTGGTCTCTCAGAATCCATTCATTCTCCTTCTTGTGTCCAAAGCGGTGATAACTTCCTCTGACTGTTCTGAGGCGTGACTTTGAACAGACCGTCTGTTCTGCTGCTTCTCTGCCTCAGCGTCGCACTTTTCAACACGAAGCATAAAGTGCTCAAAGCAGCTCGTCCATAACTCTGCAGCTCGACCCGTTCATTCATGATGCTTGAGAAATGTCATGGACCATCTTTAAACCATTGAACCCTGTCTGTCCCGGTCTTATTTGGATTGAACCATTTGCCCATTCTCAGAAAACTGCTTATTTGTTCTTTTATTATAAAGCCAATTTATTATTCTCTGAAAGAAAATCCGCTTGAATTCATTAAAACAAGATACATTTAGCAGATTAACAAGATTAATGCTCCTTTTTGTCCTTTCACAAAGGACTCTTGGAGCCAAAGCCAAAAATTCATGAATTGCTGTTTCACATTATGATTTTATTGTTGTAAATGAATCTTTTTGATCAATAATAATACACTGAGTCCAGAAAAACATGGAATCCTTGTGACTAGAGTTCTGACCTGAGCACCGGCACTTTAGTATCGTCTTATACAACACTCAGATAAAGAACTGTCATTTAGAAAACCACCCACTGTTGAAACCATTTGTTTATGATTCTTAGAAATGATGAACGTGTGACGACCCCGTTCTCCTGACGCTAATGATGACATGTTCAGACTAGGACAGTCCCAGATTCAGACTAGGACAGTCCCAGGTGTGTTTCTGCGTCTCCTTTGGCTCTAACTGACTCTGTTTTTGGTCTGTTGTTCCTGGAGCAGCTCTCTCGGCGCTGGGTTCGCTTCCTCCCCTTCTGACTCCTCTGGACCCTGGACTCATAAGTCCCCTTCGGACTCCTCTGGACCCCGGACTAAGAGGTCCCCTTCGGACTCCTCTGGACCCTGGCCTCAGAGGTCCCCTTCGGACTCCTCTGGACCCTGGACTCATAAGTCCCCTTCGGACTCCTCTGGACCCCGGACTAAGAGGTCCCCTTCGGACTCCTCTGGACCCTGGCCTCAGAGGTCCCCTTCGGACTCCTCTGGACCCTGGACTCAGAGGTCCCCTTCGGACTCCTCTGGACCCTGGCCTCAGAGGTCAGTACTGCGGCGCGCCCTGTGGGTGGCGCTGCCGTTGCAGGTGTTGCTGCTGCTGCTGCTGCTGTGGTCTTTGGCGTTGCCGATGTCGGAGGAAAGCTGTGTCCAGTCCAACGCCTTCGCTCAGTCTCTGCAGCCCATGCTCAGCTACAGGAACGGCCCGCCTCCACTTTAGACCAAACTAGACTTCTGTTTCCCTTTAACGCTTTACCTCATGTCCACGTCCTGCGCTGAACAAATAGGGCTGAAAATATGTTTTAGAATCATTTACTTTATCATGTTTTACTGACCTCATGTTCACTCATGTTTGCAGTGCTTTCCTGACGTTTATATTAATACTGTGATATATTATCATATTATCATGACATGGGTTTGAAATCATAGTGCCTGAATATTTCTTTTGAATATCTGTTCCATCACGTGTTCTCAGAGTTTACATGTTTAAAGCCGGGGTTCCTAACCTCAAACACAAACATATATAAACAAAGTTAGTTAGATTTCACATGTGTGTATTTGGACTGACACTTATTTAGATCATCCTTTTCAGACAGACCCCCCCCCTCTTAGAACCCCCCCTCCTTTAGAACCCCCCCTCCTTTAGAACCCCCCCTCCTTTAGAACCCCCCCTCCTTTAGAACCCCCCCTCCTTTAGGACCCCCCCTCCTTTAGAACCCCCCCTCCTTTAGGACCCCCCCTCCTTTAGAACCCCCCCTCCTTTAGAACCCCCCCTCCTTTAGAACCCCCCCTCCTTTAGGACCCCCCCTCCTTTAGAACCCCCCCTCCTTTAGGACCCCCCCTCCTTTAGGACCCCCCCTCCTTTAGGACACCCCCTCCTTTAGGACCCCCCCTCTTAGAACCCCCCCTCCTTTAGGACACCCCTGTCTTAGGACCCCCCCCCCCCCCCCCCCTCCCTTTGGACCCCCCCTCTTAGGACCCCCCTCCTTTAGGACCCCCCCTCTTAGGACCCCCCTCCTTTAGGACCCCCCCCTCTCAGGACCCCCCTCCCTAAACAGCTCTCGCTCAGCATCAGTGACCCACAGGCCTCTTTCTCTTGAAGGATGTACCAGATGAAAGTTAGGTCCCCCAGCTTTAAGTCTGCATGACTGACATGTCAGTGGTTTCTTCATATTGTTCCGCTGCGTCGGAAACAGATGTTTTTAAAGAAATGAATCTTGTCTCATGTTCTCAGCACTTTGTTCTGTCCTGAACCGAGCAGCACCAAAGTCAAACTGCTTTTACCCCGAGGTTTGTGCAGAGACATGTCCATCCACTGCCGGGTCACAGACACATTGCTGGGTCACAGACACATTGCTGGGTCACAGACACATTGCTGGGTCACAGACACATTGCTGGGTCACAGACACATTGCTGGGTCACAGACACATTGCCTGGTCACTGACACATTGCTGGGTCACAGACACATTGCTGGGTCACAGACACATTGCCTGGTCACTGACACATTGCTGGGTCACAGACACATTGCTGGGTCACAGACACATTGCCGGGTCACAGACACATTGCTGGGTCACAGACACATTGCCTGGTCACAGACACATTGCCTGGTCACTGACACATTGCTGGGTCACAGACACATTGCTGGGTCACAGACACATTGCCTGGTCACAGACACATTGCCTGGTCACTGACACATTGCTGGGTCACTGACACATTGCTGGGTCACAGACACATTGCTGGGTCACAGACACATTGCTGGGTCACAGACACATTGCTGGGTCACAGACACATTGCCGGGTCACAGACACATTGCTGGGTCACAGACACATTGCTGGGTCACAGACACATTGCTGGGTCACAGACACATTGCCTGGTCACTGACACATTGCTGGGTCACAGACACATTGCTGGGTCACAGACACATTGCTGGGTCACAGACACATTGCTGGGTCACAGACACATTGCTGGGTCACAGACACATTGCTGGGTCACAGACACATTGCTGGGTCACAGACACATTGCCTGGTCACAGACACATTGCCGGGTCACAGACACATTGCTGGGTCACTGACACATGTCCATGTTTGAACTAATGTGATGCTGTTCATGAAGTTTGTACATTTATTTTTGATCATGAAACTGAGATTATAACAAAGTGCTGTATATTTTGTACGACTGTTGAACTTATGGATATATATATATATATATATATATATATATATATATATATATATATATATATATATATATATATATATATATATATATATATTATAACCTGTAAATAATGAAAGTATATCATGAAACTGAGACAAAGAACGACAAATCCTTATTTTGAACCTGACTTTTCTTTCACTCCATCCTCCAACTGTTGGTGTTTTAAATGTTTAAGTGTAATAACCAGCTACAACAGCACCACCTGCTGGTGTACTGCTAGAACAACCACATTACACTTAAGAATCTGTTTGACACACTCCTGGCGGCAGAGGTGTGTCAAACAGAGATGTGTGTCAAACAGAGAGGTGTGTCAAACAGAGATGTGTGTAAAACAGAGATGTGTGTAAAACAGAGATGTGTGTAAAACAGAGAGGTGTGTCAAACAGAGATGTGTGTAAAACAGAGATGTGTGTAAAACAGAGATGTGTGTAAAACAGAGATGTGTGTAAAACAGAGCCTGAGGCTTTGGTCCATTCTTCTCTTCGTACAACGCGGTTATTTACACACAGATTGTTCTGTTAGATACAAATGTCAAATCACACACACACAAATATTATTGAAACAATAATAGCTCCATACATGTGTGTATATATATGTGTATATATACACATATATATACACATATGTATATACATTGATATATATATTGATATATATATATATATATAATTGTTTATATACGGTCCCCTTGTTCTATGTGGGGTTCATTGAAAAAAAGTATTCATTGAAAAAACCGTAAATTCCGGACTTTAATCCGCCGCAGTTTCCTGCATGTTGAAGGCTGAGGCTTATAGTCAGGTGCGGCTTCATTTTTATTAAATTTTTTCTGTGATGCCAAAAACATTTGCAAAGTAACAGGACGTTTACAGGCGCAGCACATGAAGCTACTGATAATTACACTGTAGTGTCTTTGTGCAAATATTTATACGTTTTTGGTTCTTTGTAAAAACACGTGAAAAGAGTGAAAAGAGAACCATAGATCCTTTCTTACTTTCAGTGACACTTTTACTCTTGTTTCTCACAGTAATAAAAAGACATAACGAAAAATTAGAGCCTGCGGCTTCACAGTACCAGGGTTAGGGTACAGTCATAAAAACACAGTGACTATTGGAAGATAACTCCAGAGTCACTCAGACTCTGGGACCTCACTGTAGAGGAGTCTGAGAGAGGTCCACCGTGAGGGCTCTGTGAGGTCCTCTGTGAGGGCGTCTGTGAGGTCCTCTGTGAGGTCCTCTGTGAGGTCCTCTGTGAGGCCCTCTGTGAGGCCCTCTGTGGCCAGGACCTCCTCTCACAGTGACACAGAGACGAGTCCAGGCGTCTGAGGAGGTCTTCAGCAGAAGCATCAGAAGGATCCAACCCGAGCAGATGGGACACGTCTGTTCTGAAATCTGACAACTGTGAAAGAAGAGAAACCTCTGAACATCACTGGGACCAAAGTGTTGCTTTTTATCATCGACAAAAACAATGGGTTTTTACATGTTTCAGAAAACAGCAAGAGTGAGGTTTGTCCAGACTTTATTGTTATGCTTTTTAGTAAACCTGAGGACCCTCTCATCCCAAGGGGACTGTCTTATAATGAATAAATGTTGGGGTCCCTAACTTTTAACTTTTAAACATAAAAATAGATTTAATTATAAAATCCATCTTCAAAAACTAGGCAGTAAAAGGAGGTTCTGGTAAATCCATTGGTTCTTCATGTCTAAAGCAGCTTCACAGACGATGGTGACTTTAACAAACAATATTTGATCTTCAAAGCACTTTTCAACACAATGCATAAAGTGTGAGGAATTATGAAAGTCTGAAAGCAGCTCGTCTGCTCCATAACTCTGGATTAACTCAGTTTGTTTATGTGCAGGAAAGTGTGAATAATCTGATGGAACATCTCAGAAGGAAAAGCCTCATTCCTCTTCATACACAATTAACTATGTATTAAATCCATCCATCCGACTAGTTCCAGTTCCTAAGTCTTTAAAAACTGTTTCTTACAAATGTGTAAACGATAAAAGGTTTTTACTAACAAGATGAAGACGAATAATGATGAACAACTAAAGTTGAGGACCTCCGAGGGGTTCTGTGTGTGAGACTAAAGACTCTGTTCGCCCTCGTTACCTCTCTCTCTCGGCCCGACAGCAGCTCCAGGCTCCGTCTCAGGAGGACGAGCTCCTCCTGGTCTTTCTCCTGCTGGTCCTCCTGGTCTTTCTCCTGCTGGTCCTCCTGGTCTTTCTCCTGCTGGTCCTCCTGGTCTTTCTCCTGCTGGTCCTCCTGACTCCTCTGGTCTTTCTCCTCCAGGTTCGAGGTCAGTTTTTTCTCCACGTTTGCCTTTCTCTGCTCCAGCTGGTCCAGTTTCTTCTGATGCTCCATCTCTTTGAACTTAGTCCATCAGACACAGCACCACATTTAGAACCACATTTTATTCCAGAAGCTCAAAGCACATTATTATTATTATTATTATAATTATTAGACTCTTAGAAGTCTCACAACAGAAACTACAGTCGTTGTCTGAGCCACAGCTGCACTGGAGATGGTTCTACAGCGCTGCGGCCTCGATCTCACAGTCTCGGCTCAAACACGTTATCATTGGCAGCAAAATCATTACAAAAACAAGCAACAAGCAAATAAAATGTTTATTATATGACTTGGACCGTACGCGCGCTCTGATTGGCTGATTACCGGTCTGATATTTTCCCATCTCGGACCGTTACCATGACAATCTGTCCGCAGCGCGTATCACACAAAACCAAGTCGGACATGAACATACTTCACAAATATCTCAAAAGCATTGGTAAAGACGAGAGTCATATAATAAAACATTTATTAACCTCGGTCTGTACATTAAGGCTCGGTCTGTACATTAAGGCTCGGTCTGTACATTAAGGCTCGGTCTGTTCATTAAGGCTCGGTCTGTACATTAAGGCTCGGTCTGTGCATTAAGGCTCGGTCTGTACATTAAGGCTCGGTCTGTACATTAAGGCTCTGTCTGTACATTAAGGCTCGGTCTGTGCATTAAGGCTCGGTCTGTGCATTAAGGCTCGGTCTGTGCATTAAGGCTCGGTCTGTGCATTAAGGCTCGGTCTGTACATTAAGGCTCGGTCTGTGCATTAAGGCTCGGTCTGTGCATTAAGGCTCGGTCTGTACATTAAGGCTCGGTCTGAGCATTAAGGCTCGGTCTGTACATTAAGGCTCGGTCTGTGCATTAAGGCTCGGTCTGTGCATTAAGGCTCGGTCTGTGCATTAAGGCTCGGTCTGTACATTAAGGCTCGGTCTGTACATTAAGGCTCGGTCTGTGCATTAAGGCTCGGTCTGTGCATTAAGGCTCGGTCTGTGCATTAAGGCTCGGTCTGTACATTAAGGCTCGGTCTGTGCATTAAGGCTTGGTCTGTGCATTAAGGCTCGGTCTGTGCATTAAGGCTCGGTCTGTACATTAAGGCTCGGTCTGTGCATTAAGGCTCGGTCTGTGCATTAAGGCTCGGTCTGTACATTAAGGCTCGGTCTGTACATTAAGGCTCGGTCTGTGCATTAAGGCTCGGTCTGTGCATTAAGGCTCTGTCTGTGCATTAAGGCTCTGTCTGTGCATTAAGGCTCGGTCTGTGCATTAAGGCTCGGTCTGTGCATTAAGGCTCGGTCTGTGCATTAAGGCTCGGTCTGTACATTAAGGCTCGGTCTGTACATTAAGGCTCGGTCTGTACATTAAGGCTCGGTCTGTTCATTAAGGCTCGGTCTGTACATTAAGGCTCGGTCTGTGCATTAAGGCTCGGTCTGTACATTAAGGCTCGGTCTGTACATTAAGGCTCTGTCTGTACATTAAGGCTTGGTCTGTGCATTAAGGCTCGGTCTGTACATTAAGGCTCGGTCTGTACATTAAGGCTCGGTCTGTGCATTAAGGCTCGGTCTGTGCATTAAGGCTCGGTCTGTACATTAAGGCTCGGTCTGTACATTAAGGCTCGGTCTGTACATTAAGGCTCGGTCTGTGCATTAAGGCTCGGTCTGTGCATTAAGGCTCGGTCTGTGCATTAAGGCTCGGTCTGTACATTAAGGCTCGGTCTGTGCATTAAGGCTTGGTCTGTGCATTAAGGCTCGGTCTGTGCATTAAGGCTCGGTCTGTACATTAAGGCTCGGTCTGTGCATTAAGGCTCGGTCTGTGCATTAAGGCTCGGTCTGTACATTAAGGCTCGGTCTGAGCATTAAGGCTCGGTCTGTACATTAAGGCTCGGTCTGTGCATTAAGGCTCGGTCTGTGCATTAAGGCTCGGTCTGTACATTAAGGCTCGGTCTGAGCATTAAGGCTCGGTCTGTACATTAAGGCTCGGTCTGTACATTAAGGCTCGGTCTGTACATTAAGGCTCAGTCTGTACATTAAGGCTCGGTCTGTGCATTAAGGCTCGGTCTGTACATTAAGGCTCGGTCTGTACATTAAGGCTCGGTCTGTACATTAAGGCTCGGTCTGTACATTAAGGCTCGGTCTGTGCATTAAGGCCGTGGTCTGATATTTCTCCATACAGACCTCGCCCTCGTTAGTAGCTGACTCTTTACAGTCAACCAAAAGTCCTGGGACGGTCAGGATCTTATTCCCAGATGATTAGAAATGTAGATGATATTCTGAATTTGTTTTGGACAACTTTGACTTCAGCTTGAAAGTCATTTATGTGAGAATTACTGAATTACTGTAGGTTTGAACAATTTGGATATCATTAAATCCCTACTTTGTTTTTTCGTAGTTTGTAAATGATGAATCTGTTTGGTAAGTTTCCTAACTCCTCATGGCGTGTACAGTCCTCTGGCCCTGGGGCCCTGGGGCCCTGGGGCCCGTGCGCACCCCTCGGCCCTGTACCTTCAGCTCGTGGCTGTGGCTGAGCTGGGCCTTGAGCTCGGTGCTGGACAGTCTGAAGGCTCGGAGCTCAGTCTGAAGTCGCTCCACTTTCTTCTGGAGTCGTTTGTTCTCGACCTTCTCTTCTTCTCTCTGAGCGGCGACTGCAGAGTCCTCCAGCTCCAGCACTTTCTTTCTCAGGAGCTGGATGTGCAGAGCTTTGCTCTCCAACTGCTCCTTCTGACATTTCACCTGGAGCAAAGACAGTGTTTAAGAACGGGGTTCTTACAGGAGTATTTGCTTCTACTTGGAGGGTTAAAGGTCAAGTCTTAGTTTACTTAGTTTATTTTTATTGGAGAAGTCGGGGGAAGGTATTTATGGAGAAAGATGAAAATGTAACAATAAGGAGACGAGAGAAACTGGAAATGAAACAGATCCAAATGTTGTAAGAGTCGACAGCTCTTACAACAGACAGCTCTTACAACAGACAGCTCTTACAACAGACAGCTCTACAACAGACAGCTCTTACAACAGACAGCTCTTACAACAGACAGCTCTACAACAGACAGCTCTTACAACAGACAGCTCTTACAACAGACAGCTCTACAACAGACAGCTCTTACAACAGACAGCTCTACAACAGACAGCTCTACAACAGACAGCTCTTACAACAGACAGCTCTACAACAGACAGCTCTACAACAGACAGCTCTACAACAGACAGCTCTTACAACAGACAGCTCTTACAACAGACAGCTCTTACAACAGACAGCTCTACAACAGACAGCTCTACAACAGACAGCTCTACAACAGACAGCTCTTACAACAGACAGCTCTTACAACAGACATCTCTTACAACAGACAGCTCTACAACAGACAGCTCTACAACAGACAGCTCTTACAACAGACAGCTCTTACAACAGACAGCTCTACAACAGACAGCTCTTACAACAGACAGCTCTACAACAGACAGCTCTTACAACAGACAGCTCTACAACAGACAGCTCTACAACAGACAGCTCTTACAACAGACAGCTCTTACAACAGACAGCTCTTACAACAGACAGCTCTTACAACAGACAGCTCTACAACAGACAGCTCTTACAACAGACAGCTCTACAACAGACAGCTCTACAACAGACAGCTCTACAACAGACAGCTCTACAACAGACAGCTCTACAACAGACAGCTCTTACAACAGACAGCTCTTACAACAGACAGCTCTTACAACAGACAGCTCTTACAACAGACAGCTCTACAACAGACAGCTCTACAACAGACAGCTCTACAACAGACAGCTCTACAACAGACAGCTCTTACAACAGACAGCTCTACAACAGACAGCTCTTACAACAGACAGCTCTTACAACAGACATCTCTTACAACAGACAGCTCTACAACAGACAGCTCTACAACAGACAGCTCTACAACAGACAGCTCTTACAACAGACAGCTCTTACAACAGACAGCTCTTACAACAGACAGCTCTACAACAGACAGCTCTTACAACAGACAGCTCTTACAACAGACAGCTCTTACAACAGACAGCTCTTACAACAGACAGCTCTACAACAGACAGCTCTTACAACAGACAGCTCTTACAACAGACAGCTCTTACAACAGACAGCTCTTACAACAGACAGCTCTACAACAGACAGCTCTTACAACAGACAGCTCTACAACAGACAGCTCTACAACAGACAGCTCTTACAACAGACAGCTCTACAACAGACAGCTCTACAACAGACAGCTCTTACAACAGACAGCTCTACAACAGACAGCTCTTACAACAGACAGCTCTACAACAGACAGCTCTTACAACAGACAGCTCTTACAACAGACAGCTCTTACAACAGACAGCTCTTACAACAGACAGCTCTTACAACAGACAGCTCTTACAACAGACAGCTCTTACAACAGACAGCTCTACAACAGACAGCTCTTACAACAGACAGCTCTTACAACAGACAGCTCTTACAACAGACAGCTCTTACAACAGACAGCTCTACAACAGACAGCTCTTACAACAGACAGCTCTACAACAGACAGCTCTTACAACAGACAGCTCTTACAACAGACAGCTCTTACACGACAGCACACAGACAGCTCTACAACAGACAGCTCTACAACAGACAGCTCTACAACAGACAGCTCTTACAACAGACAGCTCTACAACAGACAGCTCTACAACAGACAGCTCTACAACAGACAGCTCTACAACAGACAGCTCTTACAACAGACAGCTCTACAACAGACAGCTCTTACAACAGACAGCTCTTACAACAGACAGCTCTTACAACAGACAGCTCTTACAACAGACAGCTCTACAACAGACAGCTCTACAACAGACAGCTCTTACAACAGACAGCTCTTACAACAGACAGCTCTTACAACAGACAGCTCTTACAACAGACAGCTCTACAACAGACACAAATTACTTCATTTGTTTAAAAGACTGATTCTAATCCAACGATGGGGAATGTTTTGAGGAATTTGAAATGTTGGACCAGAGTGAGTTTGATTTGACTAAAAGAATTGGGATCAGAATCAGCTCCAAATCTGAGGCCAAGGTCCTCTCCAGGTCCTGGGCCTGGGCCTCTCCAGGTCCTGGGCCTCTCCAGGTCCTGGGCCTCTCCAGGTCCTGGGCCTCTCCAGGTCCTGGGCCTCTCCAGGTCCTGGGCCTCTCCAGGTCCTGGGCCTCTCCAGGTCCTTCCTTTCCCATCATAGTCACCTTCCTCTGCAGGCTGTAGCTCAGGGACTTGCTCTGGACCAAAGCGTCGCCCTCTTGCCTCATCAGCTGCTCTGCTCTGGACACAATTAAGTTGAGTCTCAGATCGAAGCCCACGTCCAGAGCAATAGTCTCCACTTTCAGGATCTCAGAAAGCTTCTCCAAGAACTCTTCATACTGTAAGGACGAGCAGATGTAAGGCTTTGAAATCAAACTATCCCATTCCCACGCTGTACCTATGTGCTGTACCTGCGTGCTGTACCTGCGTGCTGTACCTATGTGCTGTACCTGCGTGCTGTACCTATGTGCTGTACCTGCGTGCTGTACCTATGTGCTGTACCTATGTGCTGTACCTATGTGCTGTACCTGCGTGCTGTACCTATGTGCTGTACCTGCGTGCTGTACCTATGTGCTGTACCTGCGTGCTGTACCTATGTGCTGTACCTATGTGCTGTACCTATGTGCTGTACCTATGTGCTGTACCTGCGTGCTGTACCTGCGTGCTGTACCTATGTGCTGTACCTATGTGCTGTACCTATGTGCTGTACCTATGTGCTGTACCTGCGTGCTGTACCTGCATGCTGTACCTATGTGCTGTACCTATGTGCTGTACCTGCGTGCTGTACCTATGTGCTGTACCTGCGTGCTGTACCTATGTGCTGTACCTATGTGCTGTACCTGCGTGCTGTACCTATGTGCTGTACCTATGTGCTGTACCTGCGTGCTGTACCTATGTGCTGTACCTATGTGCTGTACCTGCGTGCTGTACCTATGTGCTGTACCTATGTGCTGTACCTATGTGCTGTACCTGCGTGCTGTACCTTTGTGCTGTACCTATGTGCTGTACCTGCGTGCTGTACCTATGTGCTGTACCTGCGTGCTGTACCTATGTGCTGTACCTATGTGCTGTACCTATGTGCTGTACCTATGTGCTGTACCTGCGTGCTGTACCTATGTGCTGTACCTGCGTGCTGTACCTATGTGCTGTACCTATGTGCTGTACCTATGTGCTGTACCTATGTGCTGTACCTATGTGCTGTACCTATGTGCTGTACCTGCGTGCTGTACCTATGTGCTGTACCTGCGTGCTGTACCTATGTGCTGTACCTATGTGCTGTACCTGCGTGCTGTACCTATGTGCTGTACCTGCGTGCTGTACCTATGTGCTGTACCTATGTGCTGTACCTGCGTGCTGTACCTATGTGCTGTACCTATGTGCTGTACCTATGTGCTGTACCTATGTGCTGTACCTGCGTGCTGTACCTATGTGCTGTACCTATGTGCTGTACCTATGTGCTGTACCTGCGTGCTGTACCTTTGTGCTGTACCTATGTGCTGTACCTGCGTGCTGTACCTATGTGCTGTACCTATGTGCTGTACCTGCGTGCTGTACCTATGTGCTGTACCTATGTGCTGTACCTGCGTGCTGTACCTATGTGCTGTACCTATGTGCTGTACCTGCGTGCTGTACCTATGTGCTGTACCTATGTGCTGTACCTATGTGCTGTACCTGCGTGCTGTACCTATGTGCTGTACCTATGTGCTGTACCTATGTGCTGTACCTGCGTGCTGTACCTATGTGCTGTACCTGCGTGCTGTACCTATGTGCTGTACCTGCGTGCTGTACCTATGTGCTGTACCTATGTGCTGTACCTATGTGCTGTACCTGCGTGCTGTACCTATGTGCTGTACCTGCGTGCTGTACCTATGTGCTGTACCTATGTGCTGTACCTATGTGCTGTACCTTTGTGCTGTACCTGCGTGCTGTACCTATGTGCTGTACCTATGTGCTGTACCTATGTGCTGTACCTATGTGCTGTACCTGCGTGCTGTACCTACGTGCTGTACCTACGTGCTGTACCTACGTGCTGTACCTATGTGCTGTACCTATGTGCTGTACCTATGTGCTGTACCTATGTGCTGTACCTATGTGCTGTACCTATGTGCTGTACCTGCGTGCTGTACCTATGTGCTGTACCTATGTGCTGTACCTATGTGCTGTACCTTTGTGCTGTACCTGCGTGCTGTACCTATGTGCTGTACCTATGTGCTGTACCTATGTGCTGTACCTATGTGCTGTACCTGCGTGCTGTACCTACGTGCTGTACCTACGTGCTGTACCTACGTGCTGTACCTATGTGCTGTACCTGCGTGCTGTACCTATGTGCTGTACCTATGTGCTGTACCTATGTGCTGTACCTGCGTGCTGTACCTATGTGCTGTACCTATGTGCTGTACCTATGTGCTGTACCTACGTGCTGTACCTATGTGCTGTACCTATGTGCTGTACCTATGTGCTGTACCTATGTGCTGTACCTATGTGCTGTACCTATGTGCTGTACCTATGTGCTGTACCTGCGTGCTGTACCTATGTGCTGTACCTATGTGCTGTACCTATGTGCTGTACCTATGTGCTGTACTGTGCTGTCTATGCTGTACCTGCGTGCTGTACCTATGTGCTGTACCTGCGTGCTGTACCTATGTGCTGTACCTGCGTGCTGTACCTATGTGCTGTACCTGCGTGCTGTACCTATGTGCTGTACCTATGTGCTGTACCTATGTGCTGTACCTGCGTGCTGTACCTATGTGCTGTACCTGCGTGCTGTACCTATCGTGCTGTACCTATGTGCTGTACCTATGTGCTGTACCTATGTGCTGTACCTATGTGCTGTACCTATGTGCTGTACCTGCGTGCTGTACCTATGTGCTGTACCTATGTGCTGTACCTATGTGCTGTACCTTTGTGCTGTACCTGCGTGCTGTACCTATGTGCTGTACCTATGTGCTGTACCTATGTGCTGTACCTATGTGCTGTACCTGCGTGCTGTACCTATGTGCTGTACCTATGTGCTGTACCTATGTGCTGTACCTATGTGCTGTACCTTTGTGCTGTACCTGCGTGCTGTACCTATGTGCTGTACCTATGTGCTGTACCTATGTGCTGTACCTGCGTGCTGTACCTACGTGCTGTACCTACGTGCTGTACCTACGTGCTGTACCTATGTGCTGTACCTGCGTGCTGTACCTACTGCTGTACCTACGTGCTGTACCTACGTGCTGTACCTATGTGCTGACCTGCGTGCTGTACCTATGTGCTGTACCTATGTGCTGTACCTATGTGCTGTACTCGTGCTGTACCTATGTGCTGTACCTATGTGCTGTACCTATGTGCTGTACCTACGTGCTGTACCTATGTGCTGTACCTATGTGCTGTACCTATGTGCTGTACCTATGTGCTGTACCTGCGTGCTGTACCTATGTGCTGTACCTATGTGCTGTACCTATGTGCTGTACCTGCGTGCTGTACCTATGTGCTGTACCTATGTGCTGTACCTGCGTGCTGTACCTACGTGCTGTACCTACGTGCTGTACCTACGTGCTGTACCTATGTGCTGTACCTGCGTGCTGTACCTATGTGCTGTACCTATGTGCTGTACCTATGTGCTGTACTATGTGCTGTACCTATGTGCTGTACCTATGTGCTGTACCTATGTGCTGTACCTACGTGCTGTACCTATGTGCTGTACCTATGTGCTGTACCTATGTGCTGTACCTGCGTGCTGTACCTATGTGCTGTACCTATGTGCTGTACCTGCGTGCTGTACCTACGTGCTGTACCTACGTGCTGTACCTACGTGCTGTACCTATGTGCTGTACCTGCGTGCTGTACCTACGTGCTGTACCTACGTGCTGTACCTACGTGCTGTACCTATGTGCTGTACCTGCGTGCTGTACCTATGTGCTGTACCTATGTGCTGTACCTATGTGCTGTACCTGCGTGCTGTACCTATGTGCTGTACCTATGTGCTGTACCTATGTGCTGTACCTACGTGCTGTACCTATGTGCTGTACCTATGTGCTGTACCTATGTGCTGTACCTATGTGCTGTACCTGCGTGCTGTACCTATGTGCTGTACCTATGTGCTGTACCTGCGTGCTGTACCTACGTGCTGTACCTACGTGCTGTACCTACGTGCTGTACCTATGTGCTGTACCTGCGTGCTGTACCTATGTGCTGTACCTATGTGCTGTACCTATGTGCTGTACCTGCGTGCTGTACCTATGTGCTGTACCTATGTGCTGTACCTATGTGCTGTACCTATGTGCTGTACCTATGTGCTGTACCTATGTGCTGTACCTATGTGCTGTACCTGCGTGCTGTACCTATGTGCTGTACCTATGTGCTGTACCTATGTGCTGTACCTATGTGCTGTACCTATGTGCTGTACCTATGTGCTGTACCTATGTGCTGTACCTGCGTGCTGTACCTATGTGCTGTACCTATGTGCTGTACCTATGTGCTGTACCTACGTGCTGTACCTATGTGCTGTACCTATGTGCTGTACCTATGTGCTGTACCTATGTGCTGTACCTGCGTGCTGTACCTATGTGCTGTACCTGCGTGCTGTACCTACGTGCTGTACCTACGTGCTGTACCTACGTGCTGTACCTATGTGCTGTACCTGCGTGCTGTACCTACGTGCTGTACCTACGTGCTGTACCTACGTGCTGTACCTATGTGCTGTACCTGCGTGCTGTACCTATGTGCTGTACCTATGTGCTGTACCTATGTGCTGTACCTGCGTGCTGTACCTATGTGCTGTACCTATGTGCTGTACCTATGTGCTGTACCTGCGTGCTGTACCTATGTGCTGTACCTATGTGCTGTACCTATGTGCTGTACCTACGTGCTGTACCTATGTGCTGTACCTATGTGCTGTACCTATGTGCTGTACCTATGTGCTGTACCTGCGTGCTGTACCTATGTGCTGTACCTATGTGCTGTACCTATGTGCTGTACCTATGTGCTGTACCTGCGTGCTGTACCTATGTGCTGTACCTATGTGCTGTACCTGCGTGCTGTACCTGCGTGCTGTACCTGCGTGCTGTACCTATGTGCTGTACCTATGTGCTGTACCTATGTGCTGTACCTACGTGCTGTACCTACGTGCTGTACCTATGTGCTGTACCTATGTGCTGTACCTATGTGCTGTACCTATGTGCTGTACCTGCGTGCTGTACCTATGTGCTGTACCTATGTGCTGTACCTATGTGCTGTACCTATGTGCTGTACCTACGTGCTGTACCTATGTGCTGTACCTATGTGCTGTACCTATGTGCTGTACCTATGTGCTGTACCTGCGTGCTGTACCTATGTGCTGTACCTATGTGCTGTACCTATGTGCTGTACCTATGTGCTGTACCTACGTGCTGTACCTGCGTGCTGTACCTATGTGCTGTACCTATGTGCTGTACCTGCGTGCTGTACCTGCGTGCTGTACCTATGTGCTGTACCTATGTGCTGTACCTATGTGCTGTACCTATGTGCTGTACCTATGTGCTGTACCTATGTGCTGTACCTATGTGCTGTACCTGCGTGCTGTACCTATGTGCTGTACCTATGTGCTGTACCTGCGTGCTGTACCTGCGTGCTGTACCTGCGTGCTGTACCTATGTGCTGTACCTATGTGCTGTACCTATGTGCTGTACCTACGTGCTGTACCTACGTGCTGTACCTATGTGCTGTACCTATGTGCTGTACCTATGTGCTGTACCTATGTGCTGTACCTGCGTGCTGTACCTATGTGCTGTACCTATGTGCTGTACCTATGTGCTGTACCTATGTGCTGTACCTACGTGCTGTACCTATGTGCTGTACCTATGTGCTGTACCTATGTGCTGTACCTATGTGCTGTACCTGCGTGCTGTACCTATGTGCTGTACCTATGTGCTGTACCTATGTGCTGTACCTATGTGCTGTACCTACGTGCTGTACCTGCGTGCTGTACCTATGTGCTGTACCTATGTGCTGTACCTGCGTGCTGTACCTGCGTGCTGTACCTATGTGCTGTACCTATGTGCTGTACCTATGTGCTGTACCTGCGTGCTGTACCTATGTGCTGTACCTATGTGCTGTACCTACGTGCTGTACCTATGTGCTGTACCTGCGTGCTGTACCTATGTGCTGTACCTATGTGCTGTACCTATGTGCTGTACCTGCGTGCTGTACCTGCGTGCTGTACCTGCGTGCTGTACCTACGTGCTGTACCTATGTGCTGTACCTGCGTGCTGTACCTATGTGCTGTACCTGCGTGCTGTACCTATGTGCTGTACCTATGTGCTGTACCTATGTGCTGTACCTATGTGCTGTACCTATGTGCTGTACCTGCGTGCTGTACCTATGTGCTGTACCTATGTGCTGTACCTATGTGCTGTACCTATGTGCTGTACCTGCGTGCTGTACCTATGTGCTGTACCTATGTGCTGTACCTATGTGCTGTACCTACGTGCTGTTTGTCCTGCTGTAGTCCGTCCCTGTGCTCGCCCGCCCTCTGCAGCTCACGCTCCAGTCTGTGAAGGCGCTCGGTCAAGTCCTGGACCAGGTTTTGGGACCGGTCGGTCCTCTGCAGAGTCCTGCGGGTCAGTTCTGTTTGTTCCTGGAGCTCTGCGGACACTCGCTGCAGCTCTGTGTCCACGTCTGAAATGGCCTTTGAGGAAAGTATAGACTTTGTTTATCTTTTAGTTCTTATGTTTCATTGTTTAAAGCTGTGTTGTTGGGAGAGAAATGTAAAACTATTTGGATTAGAAAGTACTCAAACCTTCTCGCAGACCTGCTCCAGACTGAGTCCTGTTTTATGGTCTGTGTTTGTGGCTCCCTTCTGCAGGACTTTTACAACTTTATTAAAAAGCTGTAGAGGCGGCCCTGCGCGGCGCCGGCCTCTGATTGGCTGAAGTGCAGCCTTCTCTCCAGCTCCTGCACCTGTCTCTCCAGACACTGGGACTCTCTCTTTGCAGCGTCGATCACTCTTTTACCTGCCTCCAGTCGTTCACACTGAGCGAGCTTTTCTGATTCAGTGATTCTCTTTCCACACAGTAGAGCCTCATACTCCTACGGATGAAAAAGGCACGTATTTTTAGACACAGAGATGTGGAAATAAAAATATATATATGTATTTTTTAAGTTTGATTGCGAAGTTATAGGCCAAACTGTCCAGGAACAATAGTTAGGGTTTTTAATATAAAGTGTTGTGCTGTACTTTAAATTCACTGATCTTGTGTGCTTCTTTATCCAACTGTTCTGTAACTTGTGATGCAACACTGAAATGTCTCCACTGCAGGACAAATGAGGAAATCTTAATCTGAATCAAAGTCATTGCTTTGTTGACCTAACCACAGAAACAGGTTTACACCACGGACTTCACTAAAGGATTCTGCTCAGACATGATTGCATCATTTTGGTTTCATTTCCTAATAACAAATATAATAATAATTTCCCAATAAATAACCATGTATAGTTTACCACTTTAAGGGAGTCCAGAGCAGCAGCAGAGTTGGCAGTCTTCCTTCTCTCCTGGTCCAGGTCTGACATGAGTCTCTGGACGGTCTCCCTGCTGGACCTGGTCTCCAACTCACAGGACTTCACACTTGCCTCCAGAAGAGCAATCCTCATCCTAAGTCTCTCACGCTCATTGCACTGCTCTGCCTGCAGCACAAAAAAGACCAACATTAATCTTCCTGTGTTCAGGAATTTGAGGCAGAATAATGTAGGATTAAGAATGTCCATTTATTATAGAACTAAATTTAAATAAATAAAATAAAAGTCTATTTTCACCATATCTACCTCATCACTTGGGTCCATCGTGTGGATGGTTTAACTTGTAAAATTGCACTGTTGGAGTTGTGGTAAAGTCACCAAGCAACACTAAACATAAACTCTACCAGAATCCACCAGAGATGGCGCTGTTTCAGTAATGACGCAGAGGCTTATGACACTTTTCAAGGACTATTAAAATAAGTGTGAATATGATTAAGTTATACATTCATGATTATGTCACAGTATGAATAATATAAATCATACAACATTTCAATAAGAAATCACAAGGTCACAAAGCTAGACTTAATTTTCGCCGAGTTTGGCTAGACTCTTCTGTGGACGTTCCCATTAAACACGTATTTTAATTATATTCTTTTAACAAAATTCCTATGCATTAAAAATAGATAATAAATTAATAACAGTATCATAGCTGCCCGTTTGCGTTTGCCTAATGTCTGCTTTATGACTGTTTTAAGCCTTACAGACTAAACTCAGGGAGTATTTTAAACAACCGGAAGTGATGCCACGTAGACACGCCCCTCAGCTGTCACGCTGTTACTGCTGTAATAACACACGTTTATTCATTTGCGTGTATTTATCAAACGCATAGACAACATTTTAATCCTATATTTATGCCTGAGTATGTGTGGCTGCTTTAACAGGTAAGAATCATGAAAACAACTTAAATACGTGCTGCTTTGGTCACGGGAAGTGGCATCATGAAGGTTGGTCTGTGTTTAATATTATCATTGTCCTTATTTCACCAGGATAGATTTAGGATTTCCAGTCTATATTGATAGCTATGTGGCTAAATATGCTACATTGGTCTGATTCACGTCTTATTTATTATTTTGAGTTAAATATACACTAGATTCACTGTTATTAGTAGTTTTACGTTCTTTCACATACAACAGTTCATAGAACTTCACACATGTGCATCCTTGTGGGGCCATCAGAAGTCAGGTAAGTCACAAATGCACTAGGACTAAAAACCTGCTGCTATTGCCACTGTTTCTTTTATTGCCAGATTATATTTAACCTTAAACATGTGTCACACTTCTGTCTTTTGCACAATCTGAGAGATTCTTTCTGTGTTAAATGTGACATCTACATTTCTCCATCAGAGATCTATAAAGTTTATCTTATCTTACTGTTAAAGTAATGTAAGTACTTGTTTGTGTTCCAGATGTTCTGATCCAAACTAACTCCAAAATGCTGCTCCGGTCGCTGTGGAAGAGTCTGGGGCGACTTCACTCGTCAGAATCAACACTTTTGTTTTCCTCCAGATTGATCCAGAGTCACAGACATGAAACACACACATTTTCAAGGACCATTTTCTCCGACTCTTGTTGCCAACGAAGGCGTCACATTTCTAAAAACAACTCTGTGACGTCCTCTGGGATTTTACCAAACTATGATCAAAGACGTCTTTACTCCCCTGAGCTTGTAAAGACTGTTTTAAAATCCACAATGAAACCCGCTGCAGTGGCCCCGGCCAAAAGGATCCCCAAAGGCCCCAGGACCAAGCAGCCGTCCCGGGCCAACCAGCCCCCGCAGACCCAGGACCTGGTGAACACAAACTCTGTGTTTTTAACATTCTGTTTTTACACATCATCAATCTGTTTTTATTCTCAGGATATGATGCAGTGCATCGCATTTGCAACGGCAGACCAGTATCACCTCCCGACGCTGGGCCACGACCTGATCGGGAACGGCTTTCAGGAGATTGATTTGCCACGAGGTTTTTTCATCTTTATTTGTATAGCACATTTTACAGACCAAGGCACAGCCCCAAAGCACTTTACAAATGTTCAGATATAGTTCCATTCTGTCCACACGGTGATGACAGAGAGAGGCCTGAACTGTGTTAAATCACTATGTTCTAGAGAAACATGACGTAAGATGATTTCTATCGTTTCAGACGCTTCTAACGTCCTGGTGATCAGCACTGACCTCGCTGCCAAACCCGACGACAGCGCTCACGTCTTCTTTTTCAGGTGCAATACATGTGTTAGCTTCATCTAAAGGTGCAATACATGTGTTAGCTTCATCTAAAGGTGCAATACATGTGTTAGCTTCATCTAAAGGTGCAATACATGCGTTAGCTTCATCTAAAGGTGCAATACATGCGTTAGCTTCATCTAAAGGTGCAATACATGTGTTAGCTTCATCTAAGGGTGCAATACATGTGTTAGCTTCATCTAATGGTGCAATACATGTGTTAGCTTCATCTAAAGGAGCAATACATGTGTTAGCTTCATCTAAAGGTGCAGTACATGCGTTAGCTTCATCTAAAGGTGCAATACATGTGTTAGCTTCATCTAAGGGTGCAATACATGTGTTAGCTTCATCTAATGGTGCAATACATGTGTTAGCTTCATCTAAAGGAGCAATACATGTGTTAGCTTCATCTAAAGGTGCAATACATGCGTTAGCTTCATCTAAAGGTGCAATACATGTGTTAGCTTCATCTAAGGGTGCAATACATGTGTTAGCTTCATCTAATGGTGCAATACATGTGTTAGCTTCATCTAAAGGTGCAATACATGCGTTAGCTTCATCTAAAGGTGCAATACATGTGTTAGCTTCATCTAAGGGTGCAATACATGTGTTAGCTTCATCTAATGGTGCAATACATGTGTTAGCTTCATCTAAAGGTGCAATACATGTGTTAGCTTCATCTAATGGTGCAATACATGTGTTAGCTTCATCTAAAGGAGCAATACATGTGTTAGCTTCATCTAATGGTGCTCTGTGTAAGTGTAATGGTCAGAAGTCTCTCTTTCAGGGAAGGTTCTGTAGTTTTCTGGAACGTTGAGGATAAAACCGTAAGTTTCGCTGATACTTTGAGACGGAATAATCGAAGAGAAACGGTTAAATCTTTGAGTAAATGATTTTTCCGTAGCTTAAAAGAGTGTTGCGGATATTGGAGCGTCACGAGGTGCAGCCGTATGAAGTGGCGTTGGTGCACTGGGAGAACGAGGAGATCAACTACACTGTGGGAGAGTACGTGGCAATCAAAGGCGTCGCGTCGTCTCAGTTTGGTAAAAATATCTGTCTTTAGAGGAAACACAAAACTGGAGCGAGGAAACTTCATCCTGAAGGAACAGATGGAACCACAAGAAGCTGTTCTGGAAAAGTTTGCTTTTTCCAACGCTCTCTGCCTGTCGGGTAAAACACACGTCCAAAATATGTGTTTCTCTGGTTCCTGAAGAAAATGAAACTGAAGGAACCAAAAGTACATGATTATTCTTTCTCTCCAAACACAGTGATGACAACTGATAACTGCTACTGTGGCCACAGCTGCCCTGGGGCATTCTGACGACAACCAGTCTGTGCCATCGGCCCCTCCCACCACCACCAACCATTCACACACCAGACTCATTCTAATGTGGGGGAAGTGTCTTGCCTAAGGACACAACCACAGTTTGGCACTTTACAGCCGCTCCACTGTGGCACCTGCTGTTCAGAGGTCTCCCATCACAGTACTAACCAGGCCCTTTCCTGCTTAGCTTCAGAGGTCTGACAGGATCTGGCTTTTGCATGCAGGTGTGGCCACATTCAAGTATAGTGGGTTTAAGTGTCTTGCTCAAGGATACAACGACAGCAGACATCAGTGGGAGTTGGAGAAAGTCTTGTGGTGGGATTGAACCCATGACCTTCAGGCTCAAAGGCCAGTGCTACTTCCCGCCGTCTCTCTGGTAAGGTTCCAGTCCCACAGTTTGTCTGAATGGTTCTAACCCAGCGACAGATTCAAATGGAACCATGTTCTGATCTTTGTCGTTCAGTGGAACATGTTTAAAACTGATTTATCTAAACTAACGATCAGCGTCTCTTTAAGGATCAGAGGAAACTAGGGCAGTTTAGGAAAGTTAAAACAATAATAAACTCAGGAATAAAAAATGTAAACTTATTTTAACTTTATTAATTCAAGCTTTATTTACTTCACATTTAATTGGTCACACCTGCAGATGAAAGCCAGATCCTGTCAGACCTCTGAAGCTAAGCAGTGCAGGGCCAGGTTAGTACTGTGATGGGAGACCTCTGAGAACAGCAACAGTGTCCTTAGGCAAGACACTTCCCCCACATTGGAATGAGTCTGGTGTGTGTGTGAATGGTTGGTCGCTTCTGTCAGTGTGCCCCAGGGCAGCTGTGACGACTTTGAGTGTCCTGAAAAACACTAATTATTATTATTATTATCATTATAACCCTAACCCGACAGACCGTCAGCATTAGTTATATGGTCTGTTTCCGTGCAGTGAAGCTGGCCATTTGGGAGGTGGCTCTGGACAACTTTGTGGACTCGATCCAGTCCATTCCGGAGGTGAAGGAGCAGCAGAGTAATGGATGTAAAGTGTGAGACTCTCCAAACTCTTGAGTCATGTTGTGTTTTCTCTCTTCAGACGCTAAAGTCGGGAAAACGAGTCAAGCTCTCCTCTGCAGAAGTGATGCAAAAGATTGGAGAGCTTTTCACACTCAGGTAATTAGGTTTGTCTTTAAATAGAACTTTAAAACTCAATTATCGGTGAAATGTTTACGGCGAATGTTTTACTGAAAGGCTGCTTTTGTAACGGAAAGACCAACCCAGGTCATCAAGATTAGATTTAGACAATTCACTGAAGATCCTGTGTGTTTAAAGTCAACTCACCGTGACTTATGAGGCTCGTTGTTTTAGTGAACATAGAAGTACAATAATAACTTTCCTTTTTGTTCAGACACTGCATAAACCTGAGGTCGGACCTGCTCATGACTCCAGACTTCTACTGGGACCGAGAGAACCTGGAAAAACTCTACGATAAAACCTGCCAGTTTCTCAGTATCAACCGCAGAGTCAATGTAAGTTTGGTTTTACAGAAATGTGTAAAAAAGACATTATTCTGTCCATAAAAACTGAACGAATGAAAACTGTTAAATACGGTTCATAACCAGAGCTCCAGCTTTCAGCAGATCTCCTGAGTTTATTTATGAAACCTTTTGGACCAATACCACTGTGTGATTCTCTGTGTTGACATGTTTATATACATATATTTGACATATATTTATTTGTGTTTAATTTAACTGTTTTTAACCATGAGAAAAAACCTCTTCAAAGTTCCACAAACACAACAGACAGATACACACACTGAGAAAACTACTGCTGAGATTTAGATACAAGAATAGATGAAAGTGAGTTAAAGTGGGTTGAAGTGGGTGAAAGTGGGTGAAAGTGGGTGAAAGTGGGTGAAAGTGGGTGAAAGTGGGTTAAAGTGGGTGAAATGTGCAGGTGGTGAATGAGAAGCTGGAGCACTGTTCGCAGCTGACCGACCTCATGCGGAGCCATCTGAGTGAGAAGCACAGTTTGAGACTCGAATGGATGATTGTTATTCTCATCACGATTGAGGTACGACCGTCACAAATACTGAAAATACACTTTTAATATTCTCAACTTTGTCCCTTTTTAATCTTTCAGGTGATGTTTGAACTGGTGCGAATGGTTTTCTGAGTCTTTGTGATGTCACTGTTCATAATCAGAGCTATAAATGTTTAAACTGTGAAAGACGCTGTATAAATAAAGCTTACTTACTTAAATGTGTTTATTTTTTATAAATGCTGCGCTCAGGCCCGTTGTAAACGTGTGTGTAACTATCACATGGGTCTCTTTAATACAAACATAACCTGTGCTGTTCAAAGAAAATACAAAAACCATGTTACAATATAAGAGCATTTATTGAAAGAAAAATATTTCATCAATAAACATGTGCCATGAAGTTAGGCTTGTTCTGCATATCTGTGGTTATAAATGCTTTATGAACAATAACAAAATACAGAGTACAAGAGGATGTTATTTGTGTTAAGGCTTTGTGAATATTATCAAAACAACAGATACTGCATAGATTTATCTAATTATTATTTATACTGGCTAGAAAATTAGCTAAATGTGGAGTTTAGAATCAGCAAAGCATTAATGTTCTGTACACTTCATTTTACAATATACTTTAGTGGATGTGTGTCTGTGCCGACAATGGGTTTATAGTAAATTAGTATCTACAAAAATAGGCATTACTTTTATACATTTCTTTGTGAACAGACACTTTTACACCGATCAGGTTTTCCATTGGGACCAGGTTCTTGGCACCCGTCGAATACTTATGGTGCTTTCACACCGCCAACGCTGAAACGCTGAAGCCCCGCCCACCAGACGCGCATTCTCTAGTTTTCAGACGCAGAGGACTTCACACCAGAACGTCCTGACGCGAGCCGGAAGTACCGGAAGTAGCCGGCTCCGATGCTAACAGAGCTATGCTAGCGGCTTCTTGTGTACAGCGTGTCTTTGAACAGAGACTTTCCACGGGCTTTATATAACAGCAGTATGTGTTCACGGTATGTGTTTTCAGTTTTTTATTTGTTAAAAAAGTTTAAATTATCCAATAAATTTTGTTCCACTTCACGATTGTGTCCCACTTGTTGATTCTTGACAAAAAATTAAATTTTTATATCTTTATGTTTGAAGCCTGAAATGTGGCGACATGTTGAAAGGTTCAAGGGGGCCGAATACTTTTGCAAGGCACTGTATATCAGCAGTATGTGTTCACGGAGGTGACTTTATATAACAGTAGTATGTGTTCACAGTGACTTTATATAACAGCAGTATGTGTTCACGGTGACTTTATATAACAGCAGTATGTGTTCACGGAGGTGACTTTATATAACAGTAGTATGAACACACTTGAAGCAGTTGCATAAAGTCACAGGAGCATGACAACACATATTTTCACAAGCACAGAGTCCCCCATTGTCAGCCCTGGTTTGAGTTCTGGTGAAGTCTGGTGTGGGTCCTGTTTTGGCTGTTTACAGTATTTTCAGTCTGCTCGCTCAGTCCGCTAATGTCCCCGTGACCACTTTGCTGCTCTCTGATTGGCTGTCGCACGAACGTCCCAAGGAAAGGATGAGCAGAATCCATCTCCTGTGGGCGTTGATTTTTCGCTCCTGCTCCTCCCTTTTCACTTTCCCGCCATGTCCGTGCGTGTCTACTGAAGAAGCCGTTCGTGCCGAGAGGTCCGTGCGTTGTGACGCTCGAACACTCGTCACCATAAACTTTGCAATGAAACCCGACGCAGCATGATCCGGTCTGAAAGCACCATTAGTTGTCATGAAGTAAAAGCAGGAAGTGTTCAGTGTCAGTGCACGTTTACTTTAGGCACAGAATTCCAATAATAAAACAATTATATATTTATATTTTTATATTAACTCTCTGTCCTGTGGAAGCTTATTCTCTTAATGTTTTCCATAACTGAACAAACAATATATTAAATATGTTTTCTTATAAGTAACTTTATGAATTTTACTTTTGGTAGAATTCCAGTTGAACTTTTTATACCTTCAAAATGTGTCTGAATAAATAAACAATAAAACATGTGAGAAAGAAGCAAAAACGCTGCATTCTTGGCCACAGTGATTGTCGTAGTGAGTGAGTTTTAAGGCTTTGAACGATGTCCGGTGATTGTCCAACCTGAAAATAATAAAAGCATAATCAGTTAGTAAATCATTTTGTTCATTATTTATTATTCTAACAAATACTTGCCTTTTGGTCGCTGACTTAATCCCATTCAATCGTCGCTGGAACCGTTCGGGGATCTTCAAGTGCGACTGCGAAGTCTTCCCCTTCACTGTCAACGTCACACTTTAGAGCCATTTTCTTCAGGTGTTCTAAACTTTCTTCAAAATCCGTTTTTGTTTCAAGGAAATAGTCTGGTTGGCTTTCGAAGGACTCCTCAATCTCATATGTGGACGTTGTTTTTATTTGATTTCCGACATCTTCTTCTGCGTCCATCCAAACGTCCTGGTTCTCATCGTCTTCCTCTGTTTGAGTCATTGGTGCAGCAGAAACTTTAAGAACAACCAACTGTGTTTCTACGACTCCTTTTTCCTCAATGACTTCTGGTTGCAAAGTTTCAACACTTTGTATGGCTGAAACCTCTTCTTTAGGTTGAACTGCTTCTGTGATTTCTTCCTGCACAGTAGCATCCATCACGACAGGTTGATTGTCTGCTTCAGCAAATGGCCCTGGCTTGACTTCTTCCTCGTGTGTAGATGTGTCGGTGTACTGAGTGCTAACATCCATCAGCACCGGTTCTTCTTCCACAGACTGTGTCCCAATATCCTTCAAGTCTAGATTTTTAGATGTCAAATCTTCAATTGCTTCACTTGCTTGTACTGCCACTTCCATCATGACTATTTCAGATGGTTGTGGTTCATTTTCTAGCTTGATTTCTTCTGCTGTTGCTTGGACTCCAACTTCAGGCATGGAGGCTGCTTTTGCGGGATCCTTTGTTTGAGCGCTGGAGGCTGCAGTTGGTGATTGTGGTGAGCTGGATATAATCTGTTCTGTAGAAATGTGGGTGGGTTGGGACGGACTAAATGAGGCTAAACTGTGTCCGAATTGTATGTTTAGTTTGAACTCTAGAGAAATACTTGATGGGGCTTCTACGTTCCCAACAGAGGAGATGATCCCAGTATTCTGAGGCACTGCAACTGCTGTGTTACCTGGAGTTCCAATGTGGCTTGGTGCAGCTGCTTGTACTTTACCATCTTTGATATCCGCCTCTGTTTTGCTGAAAGACTGGTCTTTTGTTTCCATCACAGGATCTTCTCGAGCTACAACAAAACACTCCTCATCTTGTGCCTCTTTTATGGTCTGGTCTTCACCCATGTCATCTGGTAGATCTTTAAACTCTAGTTCCTCATCAGAGTCAACGATCTCCTTTAGATGTTGAACAACTTCTTGAATAGTTACTTCGTTCTTCTCCGTCGCAATCTCTTGTTCATTCTTTAATGTAGCTGAAAAACTGTCAACTCTTTCAATTGTTTCACTGACAGAGTCCACAACTTCTTTGTCTTCTTGAAACCCAATTTCCAGAGCCTTGTCGACGCTTGTCTTTGCAGATTGAACATCCAAATTGACCACTTGCACTTGGACTTGATGATTGCCTCCCGTTTCAACTGCTGAAGCATGCATTACAACAACAGTCGCACCTTCTTGAGCCACATGAGCAGCAATTTCTTCCAATGGTGTTGTTGTTTCAATGGCTTTCTGTTCCACTTTCTCACTTGCGTTCATACCAATCATTGGTTCTTGAACTGCTGCTCTTGTCTCTAGGGACACGTCGGGTAGCTGTGATAAAACATCTTTCAAACTGCATGTCGTCATTTGTGCAACCAACGAGTGCTGTACATCCGTTTTTGTGGTCTTTGGCGGTACAATTTTTTCTTCTCTTTCTCCGTGAATTCCAACTTGTTCAACCTCAATAAATTGTACCTCATGTATAGGCTCCTCAAGGACCTCTGCATTATCTACGCAAGGTATAGAGGTTTCTTCTGCAATCTTTTCTCTGTTTTCAACACTCTTTTGCATCAATAGGTCTGGCATTGTTGCGGCCACTTGCTGAGGTGTAGCTGTGCTTTGTTCCAGTAGTGCAGCATAATCTCCTTCAGCAACTTCCGTCACTGGACATGGTATATCTTCTTCCAATTGTCCCTCAATAGTGGTTTTACTTTCGCAAACATTCACTTCATGCATTAGTTCTTTGGAACTAGATAAACATATTTCAGATTCTGTTTCAAAAGCGAGATCTTTGGCAGGTTCATGAATATAGTCCACTTGAGTTTCTGATGCGTATGTCTCTGAATGTCCACAGTTTGTTTGTAAAGCATTCTCTAAATGGAATAAAGCTTCATTTTCACATTCTACAGTTGATGATAGAGTGACTTGTCCATCTAGTACGTTTATCGCTTTGTATGGTATCACATTCTGTTCAATTGCTTCAAGCATTTCACTTTCATCAGTCACATTTTCAGCAGATTTTAGAAGAAGTTTGTCTTTCAGCTCATCTTTGAGGACAACATCTCTTTCCACAACTCCTTGAGCTGTTGAAAGTGCAATTTGATCTGTAGTATCATCCAGTTGTGAAATGGCAACCTCTGTAACTACATCATGTTGTTGTTGTATAGTTTCTTGGTGGATTCTGGTGTCAGTAGTGGCCTCAATGGTAGCTTCAGTGTCAGTGGTGGCCTCAATGGTAGCTTCAGTGTCAGTAGTGGCCTTAATGGTAGTGTCAGTGTCAGTGGTGGCCTCAATGGTAGCTTCAGTGTCATGGGTGACCTTAATGGTAGCTTCAGTGTCAGTAGTGACCTTAATGGTAGCTTCAGTGTCATGGGTGGCCACAATGGTAGCTTCAGTGTCATGGGTGGCCTTAATGGTAGCTTCAGTGTCAGTAGTGGCCTTAATGGTAGCTTCAGTGTCATGGGTGGCCACAATGGTAGTGTCACTGGTGGCCTCAATGGTAGCTTCAGTGTCAGTAGTGGCCCCAATGGTATTGTCAGTGGTGTCAGTAGTGGCCTTAATGGTAGTGTCAGTGTCATGGGTGGCTGTAGTGGTAGCTTCAGTGTCAGTGGTGGCCTCAATGTTAGCTTCAGTAACAGTAGTGGCCTTAATGGTAGCTTCATTGTCAGTAGTGGCCTCAATGGTAGCTTCATTGTCATGGGTGGCCTTAATGGTAGCTTCAGTTTCAGTAGTGGCCTCAATGGTAGCTTCAGTGTCATGGGTGGCCTTAATGGTAGCTTCAGTGTCAGTAGTGGCCTCAATGGTAGTGTCAGTGTCATGGGTGGCTTCAGTGATAATTTTAGTGAGGACCTGAGCGGCTGTTTCTATTTCAGTGAAGTCCTCAGTAGTGGCCTCAGTGATCATCTCAGTAGTGGCCTCAGTGATCATCTCAGTAGTGGCCTCAGTGATCATCTCAGTAGTGGCCTCAGTGATCATCTCAGTAGTGGCCTTAGTGATCGTCTCAGTAGTGGCCTCAGTGATCATCTCAGTAGTGGCCTCAGTAGTGGCCTCAGTGATTGTCTCAGTGGTGGCCTCGGTGATCGTCTCAGTAGTGGCCTCAGTGATCATCTCAGTAGTGGCCTCAGTGATCATCTCAGTAGTGGCCTCAGTGATCATCTCAGTAGTGGCCTCAGTGATTGTCTCAGTAGTGGCCTCAGTGATCATCTCAGTAGTGGCCTCAGTGATCATCTCAGTAGTGGCCTCAGTGATCATCGCAGTAGTGGCCTCAGTGATCATCTCAGTAGTGGCCTCAGTGATCATCTCAGTAGTGGCCTCAGTGATCATCTCAGTAGTGGCCTCAGTGATCATCTCAGTAGTGGCCTCAGTGATCATCTCAGTAGTGGCCTCAGTGATCATCTCAGTAGTGGCCTCAGTGATCGTCTCAGTAGTGGCCTCAGTGATCATCTCAGTAGTGGCCTCAGTGATTGTCTCAGTAGTGGCCTCAGTGATCATCTCAGTAGTAGCCTCAGTAGTGGCCTCAGTGATCATCTCAGTAGTGACCTTAGTGATTGTCTCAGTAGTGGCCTCATAGATCTCATTAATGGATTCACTGATGAACACTGTGGTATCCTCAGTGGTCCTCTCAGTGATGGCCTCAGTGACTGGTGTTTCTACCTCAACCGCTTCTCTAATGATTTTGGGACATTGTTCCTCAATTATATCCTTCTCATTTACACCTTTGTGCTCAGGTTTGTCTGTAACGATATCTTCTTTCATTATGCTGTCAGCCACTGCAACCTCTTCAACTGTGTGTAGAAAGTTTTGGCTTTCCGGTGGAGGCTCTTGATAGCCCTCTAAATCTTTCGTGTTGACCATTTCAAAATCTTCCATCACAATTTCAGGCTCCATACTTGCTTCTGTTACTACGTGTTCATCTGGAGCTTGGCTGTTCGATTCCTGTTCGGACACTTTCATGCTCAACTCAGGAGTCCTATCTAAGGATAACACGTCTGTTATTTCCTCAGCTTCTTGTTTGGCTGTTTCAGCAAACCCAACAAATTCTTTATTTTCCTGGGTGACTTCCATTTCTTTGTCTATATTCTTTCCAGAATCAATTTCACCTTTAGGCATCTCAGACTCTGGTGTGATAAATTCTGGATTGTCTTGTCGGCATGATTGTTCCGTCAATATTTTGCCAACTTGTTCTTCTGCCAACAGTTCTGCAGATGCTACTCCTACTGTTTCTGATTCTGTTGGTTCAACTGGTGAACTGTCCTGGAACACATGTTCTTCTTGAAACACTTTTATAAACTCTGCAACCTCAGATATAGATTCAATCATATAATCACTATCATCTACACTTTCTTGTTTCACAACCATTTTATGTTGTGCTTCATCAAAATCGTGGTTTGCAGAGACATATTCAACTCTAGATACTTCTGATACAAACGCAGTTGAATTTGCATCTCTGAATTCTGACAAGGTTTCTGACACGAGTGATGCTTGAACATCGCCAGCTTCAAGTGGATGGTGTTCTAACATTGTTTCAATGGCATCAGATTGTGCATTGACGTTTTCACCATTAGCAGATAAATCCAACATCACATGAGTGACTGGACCAGTACCTCTTTCTAAGGATGATCCTTCTGAAATGAATGGTTCTGCTTTCATTTCTGTTGAAATTGTCTCCACAACGTTCTTAAGCAAAACCCCAATGTCCTTAAGATTAGGTTCAGCAGGAACTGGTGTTGTGTTGCCAGATGTCTTTGAAGATTCTGTCAAGTGGGATGCAGCTGATAACATTAGCTCATCCGTCTCATCTGCAATTGTAATATCCACATGTTCTGGAGCGGTTATAGCTTCTGAAGTCAATTCTACAATATCCTCTGCTATAGTATCATCCTTAGCAATGTCTTCTATGAAGGAAGTAGCAAGGGTGTCAGTGATGTGACCCTCCTCTGGGATGTCACTTAATGGTTGATACTTACTAAACTCAGTGAGTTCATCTTGATCCGTGTTCAAAGGAATTATTGGGGTGATTTGGTGCTTTTGTACTTCCTGCACAAATGTTTTGGGAATCTCAAGACTGTGTTCCTGTTCCAAGTCATGCTCACTTTCTTGGACTTCGACGTCAATCTTTACCGTTTCCTCGGTCTCAGACTGATCAAACTCTGAAAGAGGGACCACAGCTGGAGTTTCTGAGTCTTCTTCCACTGAAACCACTTCTTTATCTCCTTCATCAGAGGAAAGTTGATCCTGTTTGTCTCCTGACTTTCTCTTCTTCTGACCTGGTAGAAGTTTCTTTATGGAAAACAATGTCTCCTCTTGCGTGGCCTCACTATCTGATTGTACATTATCTTTGCTCTCCTCATTATCTTTGACTTTTCTTTTTGGCGTCATAAGTTTCTTAAATGATTTCCAAGTCAAGCTCTCGCTGTCTGATGAACTTCCCGCTTGATTGGGCGTTGATGTCACAAGATCCCCTGCTTCATTTGAACTCTCCACTTCGCGTCCCTCTTGGGTTTGCTCACCTTCAGAGTCTGATGTTTTTCTACTTCTTCGCCGTCCTGAGCCGCACAAAACGGCTTCCCATGAATGAGTTGAATCCTTTCTTTTTCGTCCGTCTTCCGTGCTGTGATCTGATGAACGCTCCATTTCCTGTGGTTTTGTGTCTTCAGCTGCAGTTTGAACATTCACCTCTTCGACGTCAACAGATGCCCTTTTTAAACTCTTTCTAGGCGTCATGAGCTTCTTAAAGGCCTCCCAAGGGCTCAACTCTTCCTCGGGTTCGGTTATTAAAGGTGAGGGTGCAGTTTCTTCAACCTTTTCTTGCACGTCTAATTTTTCAGCGGATGCGACAAATTGGTTTTCAGTGTTCTCACCTGAATCAGACAGCTTGTCATCACTCGATCTTCTTCCTTTTTGTCGTTTTGAATGTTTTTTAAAAGTTGACCGAGAGAACAACCTTTTAAATGGACTCGACTGGACTTTTTCTTGTGAACTTGTGATTTCTGACTCACTTTCTTGATCTGTGGATGGGGTTTTACCGCGCTCTTCAACTTCAGTGGTTTCCAGAACGTGTGCTGTGTCTTCTTCCAACTCTTTAGATTCAATGTCTTGTTTTGTGACGATGGGGCTTTGATCTGCAACCTCCTGAAGATCCACTGGTCGGGTATCTGTATCATTTTTACTCATATCAATCAACTCCTTTTCCTCTTCCTCTTCTTCTATTATCTTTTTCTTTAGTCCTGCAAATATTCCGGTGGTGAAAAACTTTTTAATCGGTGATACAAACTCCTCTTCTTCTTCGTTGGTTGGAGATTGCTCGACTTTTGTACTATGGTTTTGGTTTTCATCTTGGGCTGCAGCTGCATGTGCCTCTTGACCACATGTTTCAGTTATGTTTTCTTCTCCAGCCTCTCCCACACCGTCTGAAGCTCCATCTGTCATGGTAGGACCTGTAGTCGAATCGTTATCATGTATCGCGTCTAAGTCTGTGGTTTTATCAACGTCTTCATATCTCGTCTCACTTGCAGTTTCCTCTATAACCTCCTGCGTTTCTGTTCCTTCTGTCTCTTCCTCTGGTTGGTCTTCCAATCCCTTTTTCACGGTCAACTTTAATCCAATGTTACTGAAGAATTTCTTAAAGCTTTCGTTCAGATCGTTTTGCTTTCCGTCGATGTTAAGTATTTCGATTGCTTCCTCTTGGATTGGATCTGGGGACTCTTTTGGAATGAGTTGAACACTTGAAAGCTCTTCTGTGGTAGATTTGACCGAAGAAGTCTCTTTGTCCACAATGACTGCTTTTGAAAACATAAAATACAAGATTTTCATTAACCTGATGAATGATTACATGTGAAAATAGATATGACCAACCTTCTTCATCTGGATCACTGCCATCTGTCACGGTCCCATCTTTCTTTTCATTTAACTCTGAGATCTGTCCATTGTTCTGCAGCTGAAAGAAAGCAGATTATAAACATTGTTAGTGATGGTTTAAAATGGCCGTAACATTGCCTGCTCCGTAGCCTTCTTTGTTCATTTACAAAGCGGGTGTCAACTTCAAGGCTCACAAATGAATTATCTTTGCCCCGGGAGGATTTTTGATCAGTATTAGAACCAGCCGCACACATAAGAAAATATTGGATTATTCATTTAATGTTCAGGGCATGTGTTTTCTCTTTGAAGGAAGTTTGTTAAGTAAAATACGGTCTTGGTTCAATTGGTTTTATGCATCATTTTAATAGTTTTAATTGAACCTGTCCGGGCATCAGCGTTTTTTTGGGCCTCTGATGTATTTGACTTTGACATCCCTGTTTTAAAGAAATGGGTGTACATTAGTCCACCTCCAGAATGACCTGAGTAGGGGCTAATTTATAAAAGTAAAAAAAACTAAATATAAGGTGAAAAGAATCATCATCATCTCGTCATGGCTGCATTTAAACAGTGCCTCGCAGTCTCTGCAGTATGCTGTAGTCCATGCAGCCTCCCCCCTCCTCCCCATCACCACCTCATCAGTGAAGGAAAGACATGTGATTGGTCTAGGTCTCGGGGGATTGTTATTAAACCCCTCCTACAAACGGCAATATTAAAATCACTAAACCATTTCCTATACTTCCTGTACTATGTTCAAAATGTAATGATTTTGGACCAGATCACCAACTGCTCAGACATGCACTTACAATGCAAACATAACTCAAGGCAAGTTTATCTGTTTAGCACAGTTCATACGCACGCCAACTCCAAATGCTAATATACTGCATCTGTTTTACTGTCTGCTGTTACTGTCCAAGCGACTGGAGTCTCCAAGTCTGCTTCAGACACTCTGTACATGAATATTGTATTGGTATCTAGAGTTTATAGAGTAAAACGCTGCAGATGTTACTGGTTTTGGCTGTTCATTGTTAAACCTAGAGTTCTGACATGATTTGAACAAAGAGAGACACATAATGCTCTCTCTTTGTTTCTGGAGACAAGACGATTATGTCAGTTTTGTCTGAGTTGGAAGAAGGAGCGAGGCCTGGTCCCTGTTTTTCCTGCAGTCGATGAAACATGGATCTGAAAGTCGTCCGAGTCGTTTGTGAAGCACATGTTACATTAACTAACAGCAATAGATAAAGAACAAACAAATGCACCACTGTCTTAAGTCCAGCCAACTGACAACACAGACTTTGCACATATTGTCACACTTGTAATAGTGGTTAGGCAGTATAGTGTGGCTGTAAAGTGCAGCCACAGTTTGGCACTTTACAGCCGCAGCCGCCCCACTGTGGCACCTGGTGTTCACAGGGGTCTCCCATCACAGTACTAACCAGACCCTGCCCTGCTAAGCTTCAGAGGACGGAGGGATCTGGCTTTCACCTACAGGTATGGACACGACCAAAATGTCTCCGTTGCTCAAAATACAGAACTAGTACTTCTGACCTACTCACCTGCACTTACAGTATGATCCACAGGTGTAATCGATTTATCTCCACAGCTGCCCACACAGCTGCCTCCACATTAAACTAATGTGTTACGTTTGGGTCAATGACACAAAAAGTCCTGAAAAGTCTGCAACCGTGACTGCTAAATATTCACGTTACTCCTGTTTAGCTCCTTGTTTGTCCAGTGGGGGGCGCTCTACTTAAACACAGATTAGTTTTGGATGTAACAAGAGGACAAAGTGTTACGTCCAAAACGTTTGTCTGCAGTTATTGAATCATATTGTTTTACATTATGTATAATCTATACTGTAATCACACGTCCTAAATGTAACTGCCCACAAATAATACTAATAATAATAATAATAAGCACTCACAGCTGCTATAAAGTGTATACAAAAGTAGTAAAAAAATAGACTGTGAAATGTTGGATCATAAAGAACTGGGTTTGGGTCTGAACAGGTTGTTTTTAGAGCTTTAAGAGAAAGTTTAAAAAAAAAATCATGTTCCATTTTTCTTGAGATTATCCTGTCTATCTTCAAACTACATAGTGTTAAAGAATTATGAGGTACAACAATTTTATAGTAGCCTGGTCGTACCACACCATAGTACAAATTTCATTTCATACTAAGGTCTGGATTAGCTCCATTGACTCCGTTAACAGGTGGGAGGGGCTAACTCCTTTTACAGATTGAAACCATTGGATCTGAGTTTACTGTGACGTATGGAATGAGCATAGCATTTAGCCTAGCTTTAGCAGTTAGCCTAGCTTTAGCCATCTCCTTTGCCGCTAACGGAGCCCGTGGGGAGTTGCGCCACAATCTTTGCAGAGATTACATTTGCTAAACATTCCTCTTGCTCCGGCTTCAGTTTCTTGATAGAACCAGACCAGAATACTTTACTGTCACATTCTTCACCAAACTACAACCTTCCCGTTCAACGCAAACTCTTGACGTCGCCCACAACTAACTACAACACCCGCCTCCCGCGCTCTGATTGGTCGGATGGAATTGAACCGATTGTAATCTCAAACACAGGGACCAGACCCAGACGTTACCTGCAGGACATGATGATGATCTGAGAGTACGGATGGATTAGACCAGGGTAATTTTATAGATTATTTTAACATATTTCTTTAATTACTGATTGAAGTAAGATTTTTTTTAAATGACTTTATAATGTCATCTTTATTAGTTTGCACTTATTTCATAATACATACAGTCAAAAAAGGGTAAAACAAAAGGTTTGAATGGAAGATTGTACAGATCAGTTTGGAGAGAGTCGTAAGAAAAGCACATGAGTCTTCTTCTATGAAATACATTTACAGGATATATTTAGCATTTTTATTTAATTACATTTGAGAAAAGGCACTTGCAGAACTAAACATGGGGAGGCTGCTTTTCAGATTCATGCTGCTAAAATCTGGAACAGTCTTCCTGAAGATGTGAGACAGGCCTCCTCTCTGACAATGTTTAAAACCAGGTTAAAGACAGTTCTGTTTATCTGTGCTACAACTGATGGATTTTATATTTTTATCTTTCTTTTTAATGTTCTGTGATTATTATTATACAAATAAACTTGCCTTATTTTTAATCCCAAGTCTCCACCCTGACTCTACAGAACGGCCCATTCTAATCCATGACGGTTTCTCTCATGAGTCTGATCCAACACGGTCCACAATAATCAATGTGTGTTTGGCTGAGTCTGCAGAAACTGAACCTGCTCCAAAGAAACAAGGTCATTCTTTCTCTACACAACTCAACCCAGAGTAACACACTGCACACAACTCAACCCAGAGTAACACACTGCACACAACTCAACCCAGAGTAACACACTGCACACAACTCAACCCAGAGTAACACACTGCACACAACTCAACCCAGAGTAACACACTGCACACAACTCAACCCAGAGTAACACACTGCACACAACTCAACCCAGAGTAACACACTGCACACAACTCAACCCAGAGTAACACACTGCACACAACTCAACCCAGAGTAACACACTGCACACAACTCAACCCAGAGTAACACACTGCACACAACACACTGCACACAACTCAGACCAGAGTAACACACTTTCTCCTGAGGCGGATCAAGAATGTAAATGTTTTGTTCTTTCACTTCGTTGTGTGAAGTCATTACTCGAGTGTTTGCAACATTCAATACCTGCTGATCTGTTTATTCTCTCGCTATCACAAGACTCCACAGGAGAGTGCACGCCACAGGAGCGTGCACGCTCCTGTGGCGTGCACTCCGCTCCTGTGGCGTGCACTCTCCTGTGGCGTGCACGCTCCTGTGGCGTGCACGCTCCTGTGGCGTGCACGCATGACCACGAGCTGAGGCTGTCCTTTACCGTCTCGTGTTGTGTTTCATTAATGTTTCCTGATGTGATTTTCCGAGGCCCGTGATCTGCATTAGTCTTAGAAAACATTGATTACACGAAGGATAAATCTGGTTATTTTATGGATTTGTTTGATGTGATTATTATGAGACCAGTAATAATTAGTGCTGTCTAACGATTACAAATGTTTAGTTTAGATTAATCTCACAGTAATGATGAGTTAACTCTTTAACATTCTATTTCAAACCCAGTCCAACTGAAGTTAAATGAGGTCATTCAGACCAAATGTACTTAAGTCTGTTTGATTTACAACCTTTTACTTTGGGCACAACCAACATGAGCTGTTAATGAAAGGGAAAATTTACACACACCAGCTTTAATTTAGCGAGTTTAGTTCAGTTTAGTTTAGTTTCAGGAGGAGACACGGACACATTTGCGTGACAGCCCTAGTAATAAAACATATACTGTGGTTTTATACAAATCCAAACTAAATTGTGACATGTTGATTATGGACCAGGTTTAGACCAGGACCAGGACCAGTCGGGACCAAGTCTGCCAATTAGCCGTGAGCTCTGTGGTCTACGGCAGTGTTCCCCGACCTTTGTCACTGTAAACAATCATATGAAGACTAAAAACATCTCAATAAACATGTAATAATAATAATAATAATGTCAAGGCCCAAATTCTGAACACATGTCTCCACTCTTTAGAAGGATTCAAGCTCAAAACAAGATGAGAAACTTGTGCTCTGACCTTAGATAATCCTCAGACAAACCGATTCATAAATATGAATTTAAAAAAGCAGAAAAACTCCAGATTCAAGTGAAAAACATGTAAATACTGTGGTTATTCTTCCCCTTAGTTTACCTTTGAATGTTAACTTTCTTATTTTTTACATGTATTTATTGAAGTTATACAGTTTTTTTTTTTTTTTTATGAACCCAAAGCACTTTCACAACAAGGATGTGGGTTCTGTTCTTATTCTGTAAAGCGTGAGTATGAACTGGGCCAGACTGACCCAGGCCCAACAGCATCAGACTGACCCAGGCCCAACAGCATCAGACTGACCCAGGCCCAACAGCACCAGACTGACCCAGGCCCAACAGCATCAGACTGACCCAGGCCCAACAGCACCAGACTGACCCAGGCCCAACAGCACCAGACTGACCCAGGCCCAACAGCACCAGACTGACCCAGGCCCAACAGCATCAGACTGACCCAGGCCCAACAGCACCAGACTGACCCAGGCCCAACAGCATCAGACTGACCCAGGCCCAACAGCACCAGACTGACCCAGGCCCAACAGCACCAGACTGACCCAGGCCCAACAGCACCAGACTGACCCAGGCCCAACAGCACCAGACTGACCCAGGCCCAACAGCATCAGACTGACCCAGACCCAACAGCACCAGACTGACCCAGGCCCAACAGCACCAGACTGACCCAGGCCCAACAGCATCAGACTGACCCAGGCCCAACAGCATCAGACTGACCCAGGCCCAACAGCACCAGACTGACCCAGGCCCAACAGCATCAGACTGACCCAGGCCCAACAGCATCAGACTGACCCAGGCCCAACAGCACCAGACTGACCCAGGCCCAACAGCATCAGACTGACCCAGGCCCAACAGCATCAGACTGACCCAGGCCCAACAGCACCAGACTGACCCAGGCCCAACAGCATCAGACTGACCCAGGCCCAACAGCATCAGACTGACCCAGGCCCAACAGCATCAGACTGACCCAGGCCCAACAGCATCAGACTGACCCAGGCCCAACAGCACCAGACTGACCCAGGCCCAACAGCATCAGACTGACCCAGGCCCAACAGCACCAGACTGACCCAGGCCCAGGGAGAGGTCCTGGACAAAGAGCTGTTTTCTCTGACCTCGATCAGTCAGATAAAAGTAAAACAAAAAGCATCATGTCCATGGGTTAATCTTCAATGTTACCAAATTAAATAATCTCCAGTTTGTACACTGCTTTAGCTCCTCTGCTAAGATTATTTATGTATCGAAATTTCTCCACTGTGGGACGAATAAAGGAATTCTTATCTTATCTTATTTATTTAAAAGATGGACATGACACTATCACTGAAATTACAATTACATTTCAGATAACTGTAGTCCTGTCACTCACATGAAAAAGTGCAGAAAGAAGAAGAAAAAGGAGATTATCAGTAGTCTGACATGGATGTGAATGAGGCTGTAGTTTTACTGGGAAATAACATCCAAAACTAATCTGCCTCAGCAGAACCACAGCCCTGTTCCTCCACAGTCCAGACTTCAGACCGCACTGCTCCGACAGAGGCCACAGAGATCTGCCCAAACCTTGGTCTGCGTCTCCTCCGCGGTGCTCGGGCTCTGGTCCAGGGCTCTCCCCTCCTCCTCTGCCGCCGCCGCTGCGTCGGGGTCCCGCTGCGCAGACTGAGTATCTCCCATGATGCAGATGCAGGTCTCCGCTCGGGGCTACGGAAGCTGCACGGTCCCACCGGGAGTGGAGTGGATGCGGAGGGAGAGTGTTTATGTCGGTCCTTTATGAGCGACACGCCTCTGCATCAGCGCCGCAGTGAGAGCATGTGATGCCGAGGACCCGCTCAAACTCACACCATGTTTACGTCCATCTTCAAATCCATTCGTTAACCGAAGTCGAGGACGTAATCGATCGGTTTTGTTATTCGCTGACTCCGTGGGTGAACACTTCTGCAGGGCAGACTGACGGAGCTGCCATTCTGCGCCATCGGCCTCAGCCACCATCCTTCACTCACATTCCTTTGGTGTTGCACTTTACAGACACATGTTCTGGTCTTTGGCTGTGACGCAATCCCTGTGATACTACTGTAATTAAATACATAAAAAATGTATATACTGTATGTAACATAAAGGTATAGCTTCCAAAGCCATGTTCAACATAAGATTCAGATTCCGTGTTTTTGCCATTTGCAGTAAAACCCCATTGGAATACATGTGCAAAAAGTGTGCAGACCAGTGCAGAAATACCAGTGCAGTTCACATGTCATTATTATAATAATAATAATCATGTTGTGTGGAACATGAAAGAGAGGATACGACAAGAGGAAAGATTTTAAACCCTCGGTGGGGATTTTATTTTAAAGAAAATAAAGTAATCTGCATAATCAGTGTCGGTGACTGTGCTGTGTGGGGGCTGGGGGTTGGTAGGAAAGTCAGTAAGTTACGTTGTGTTGTAGTGCAAACGTGTTGTAATGCAAGTGTTGTGTTGTAGTGCAAATGTTGTGTTGTAGTGCGTGTAAATGTATAAACAGAACGGCGAAGCGTGGGGGCTGCAGTCCGGGCACGCCGCCATGTTCCCACAAACCACTGTTTGAAACATCTGGGAGCCTCCTGTCCTCCTTCACACAATAATATCATTAATACACTGCCACCACTGCACCAGCAGGGGGCACTGTCACATTATTATTATCTTCATTATTATTATAAATATCATCATTAATATTGGGAAATGACAGAAGAAGTTTTCCGTCTTCTGTGAGAAGGTAAAGTGCAGCAGTGCATGTGTAAATGCATGACATGTGTGTTGTCTGTAGTGCTGTCCGTTGTGTTGTCTGTAGTGCTGTCTGTTGTGTTGTCTGTAGTGCTGTCCGTTGTGTTGTCTGTAGTGCTGTCTGTTGTGTTGTCTGTAGTGCTGTCTGTTGTGTTGTCTGTAGTGCTGTCTGTTGTGTTGTCTGTAGTGCTGTCTGTTGTGTTGTCTGTAGTGCTGTCCGTTGTGTTGTCTGTAGTGCTGTCTGTTGTGTTGTCTGTAGTGCTGTCCGTTGTGTTGTCTGTAGTGCTGTCCGTTGTGTCGTCTGTTGTGTTGTCTGTAGTGCTGTCCGTTGTGTCGTCTGTTGTGTTGTCTGTAGTGCTGTCTGTTGTGTTGTCTGTAGTGCTGTCTGTTGTGTTGTCTGTAGTGCTGTCCGTTGTGTTGTCTGTAGTGCTGTCTGTTGTGTTGTCTGTAGTGCTGTCCGTTGTGTTGTCTGTAGTGCTGTCTGTTGTGTCGTCTGTTGTGTTGTCTGTAGTGCTGTCTGTTGTGTTGTCTGTAGTGCTGTCTGTTGTGTTGTCTGTAGTGCTGTCTGTTGTGTTGTCTGTAGTGCTGTCCGTTGTGTTGTCTGTAGTGCTGTCTGTTGTGTTGTCTGTAGTGCTGTCTGTTGTGTTGTCTGTAGTGCTGTCTGTTGTGTTGTCTGTAGTGCTGTCCGTTGTGTCGTCTGTTGTGTTGTCTGTAGTGCTGTCTGTTGTGTTGTCTGTAGTGCTGTCTGTTGTGTTGTCTGTAGTGCTGTCCGTTGTGTTGTCTGTAGTGCTGTCTGTTGTGTTGTCTGTAGTGCTGTCCGTTGTGTTGTCTGTAGTGCTGTCTGTTGTGTTGTCTGTAGTGCTGTCCGTTGTGTCGTCTGTTGTGTTGTCTGTAGTGCTGTCCGTTGTGTCGTCTGTTGTGTTGTCTGTAGTGCTGTCCGTTGTGTCGTCTGTTGTGTTGTCTGTAGTGCTGTCCGTTGTGTCGTCTGTTGTGTTGTCTGTAGTGCTGTCTGTTGTGTTGTCTGTAGTGCTGTCCGTTGTGTCGTCTGTTGTGTTGTCTGTAGTGCTGTCCGTTGTGTCGTCTGTTGTGTTGTCTGTAGTGCTGTCTGTTGTGTTGTCTGTAGTGCTGTCCGTTGTGTTGTCTGTAGTGCTGTCTGTTGTGTTGTCTGTAGTGCTGTCCGTTGTGTCGTCTGTTGTGTTGTCTGTAGTGCTGTCTGTTGTGTTGTCTGTAGTGCTGTCTGTTGTGTTGTCTGTAGTGCTGTCTGTTGTGTTGTCTGTAGTGCTGTCTGTTGTGTTGTCTGTAGTGCTGTCCGTTGTGTCGTCTGTTGTGTTGTCTGTAGTGCTGTCTGTTGTGTTGTCTGTAGTGCTGTCTGTTGTGTTGTCTGTAGTGCTGTCCGTTGTGTTGTCTGTAGTGCTGTCTGTTGTGTTGTCTGTAGTGCTGTCCGTTGTGTTGTCTGTAGTGCTGTCTGTTGTGTTGTCTGTAGTGCTGTCCGTTGTGTCGTCTGTGTGTGTGCTGTAGTGCTGTCTGTTGTGTTGTCTGTAGTGCTGTCCGTTGTGTTGTCTGTAGTGCTGTCTGTTGTGTTGTCTGTAGTGCTGTCCGTTGTGTCGTCTGTTGTGTTGTCTGTAGTGCTGTCCGTTGTGTTGTCTGTAGTGCTGTCTGTTGTGTTGTCTGTAGTGCTGTCTGTTGTGTTGTCTGTAGTGCTGTCCGTTGTGTTGTCTGTAGTGCTGTCTGTTGTGTTGTCTGTAGTGCTGTCTGTTGTGTTGTCTGTAGTGCTGTCTGTTGTGTCGTCTGTTGTGTTGTCTGTAGTGCTGTCTGTTGTGTTGTCTGTAGTGCTGTCTGTTGTGTTGTCTGTAGTGCTGTCCGTTGTGTTGTCTGTAGTGCTGTCTGTTGTGTTGTCTGTAGTGCTGTCCGTTGTGTCGTCTGTTGTGTTGTCTGTAGTGTGCTGTCTGTTGTGTTGTCTGTAGTGCTGTCTGTTGTGTTGTCTGTAGTGCTGTCCGTTGTGTTGTCTGTAGTGCTGTCTGTTGTGTTGTCTGTAGTGCTGTCCGTTGTGTTGTCTGTAGTGCTGTCTGTTGTGTTGTCTGTAGTGCTGTCCGTTGTGTCGTCTGTTGTGTTGTCTGTAGTGCTGTCCGTTGTGTCGTCTGTTGTGTTGTCTGTAGTGCTGTCCGTTGTGTCGTCTGTTGTGTTGTCTGTAGTGCTGTCCGTTGTGTCGTCTGTTGTGTTGTCTGTAGTGCTGTCCGTTGTGTTGTCTGTAGTGCTGTCCGTTGTGTCGTCTGTTGTGTTGTCTGTAGTGCTGTCCGTTGTGTCGTCTGTTGTGTTGTCTGTAGTGCTGTCTGTTGTGTTGTCTGTAGTGCTGTCTGTTGTGTTGTCTGTAGTGCTGTCCGTTGTGTTGTCTGTAGTGCTGTCTGTTGTGTTGTCTGTAGTGCTGTCCGTTGTGTCGTCTGTTGTGTTGTCTGTAGTGCTGTCTGTTGTGTTGTCTGTAGTGCTGTCTGTTGTGTTGTCTGTAGTGCTGTCCGTTGTGTTGTCTGTAGTGCTGTCTGTTGTGTTGTCTGTAGTGCTGTCCGTTGTGTTGTCTGTAGTGCTGTCTGTTGTGTTGTCTGTAGTGCTGTCTGTTGTGTTGTCTGTAGTGCTGTCCGTTGTGTCGTCTGTTGTGTTGTCTGTAGTGCTGTCCGTTGTGTCGTCTGTTGTGTTGTCTGTAGTGCTGTCCGTTGTGTCGTCTGTTGTGTTGTCTGTAGTGCTGTCCGTTGTGTCGTCTGTTGTGTTGTCTGTAGTGCTGTCTGTTGTGTTGTCTGTAGTGCTGTCCGTTGTGTCGTCTGTTGTGTTGTCTGTAGTGCTGTCCGTTGTGTTGTCTGTAGTGCTGTCCGTTGTGTCGTCTGTTGTGTTGTCTGTAGTGCTGTCCGTTGTGTCGTCTGTTGTGTTGTCTGTAGTGCTGTCTGTTGTGTTGTCTGTAGTGCTGTCTGTTGTGTTGTCTGTAGTGCTGTCCGTTGTGTTGTCTGTAGTGCTGTCTGTTGTGTTGTCTGTAGTGCTGTCCGTTGTGTCGTCTGTTGTGTTGTCTGTAGTGCTGTCCGTTGTGTTGTCTGTTGTGTTGTCTGTAGTGCTGTCTGTTGTGTTGTCTGTAGTGCTGTCTGTTGTGTTGTCTGTTGTGTTGTCTGTTGTATTGTCTGTTGTATTGTCTGTTGTGTTGTCTGTAGTGCTGTCCGTTGTGTTGTCTGTAGTGCTGTCCGTTGTGCTGTCCGTTGTGTTGTCTGTAGTGCTGTCCGTTGTGTTGTCTGTAGTGCTGTCCGTTGTGTTGTCTGTAGTGCTGTCCGTTGTGTTGTCTGTTGTGCTGTCTGTTGTGTCGTCTGTTGTGTTGTCTGTAGTGCTGTCCGTTGTGTTGTCTGTAGTGCTGTCCGTTGTGCTGTCCGTTGTGTTGTCTGTAGTGCTGTCCGTTGTGTTGTCTGTTGTGCTGTCTGTCTTCCTCTGTGTGTTGTAATCCTGCCGCATGGGCCTCTGGGTAAAAACCATCCATTCAAAATATGAAATATCTTTGATCCTAAATCCATCTGTGTGTGTAGTCAGTGTGTGTGTAGTCAGTGTGTGATCGTGTGTGTGTAGCCAGTGTGTGTGTAGTCAGTGTGTGATCGTGTGTGTAGTCAGTGTGTGATCGTGTGTGTAGTCAGTGTGTGATCGTGTGTGTGTAGTCAGTGTGTGATGGTGTGTGTAGTCCGTGTGTGATCGTGTGTGTAGTCAGTGTGTGATGGTGTGTGTAGTCAGTGTGTGATCGTGTGTGTAGTCAGTGTGTGATGGTGTGTGTAGTCAGTGTGTGATCGTGTGTGTAGTCAGTGTGTGATCGTGTGTGTAGTCAGTGTGTGATCGTGTGTGTAGTCAGTGTGTGATCGTGTGTGTGTAGTCAGTGTGTGATGGTGTGTGTAGTCAGTGTGTGATCGTGTGTGTAGTCAGTGTGTGATGGTGTGTGTAGTCAGTGTGTGATCGTGTGTGTAGTCAGTGTGTGATGGTGTGTGTAGTCAGTGTGTGATCGTGTGTGTAGTCAGTGTGTGATCGTGTGTGTAGTCAGTGTGTGATCGTGTGTGTAGTCAGTGTGTGATCGTGTGTGTAGTCAGTGTGTGATCGTGTGTGTAGTCAGTGTGTGTGTGTGTAGTCAGTGTGTGATGTGTGTGTAGTCAGTGTGTGATCGGTGTGTGTAGTCAGTGTGTGATCGTGTGTGTGTAGTCAGTGTGTGATCGTGTGTGTAGTCAGTGTGTGATTGTGTGTGTAGTCAGTGTGTGATTGTGTGTGTAGTCAGTGTGTGATCGGTGTGTAGTCAGTGTGTGATCGTGTGTGTAGTCAGTGTGTGATCGTGTGTGTAGTCAGTGTGTGATCGTGTGTGTAGTCAGTGTGTGATCGTGTGTGTAGTCAGTGTGTGATCGTGTGTGTAGTCAGTGTGTGATCGTGTGTGTAGTCAGTGTGTGATCGTGTGTGTAGTCAGTGTGTGATCGTGTGTGTAGTCAGTGTGTGATCGTGTGTGTAGTCAGTGTGTGATCGTGTGTGTGTAGTCAGTGTGTGATGGTGTGTGTAGTCAGTGTGTGATCGTGTGTGTAGTCAGTGTGTGATCGTGTGTGTAGTCAGTGTGTGATGGTGTGTGTGTAGTCAGTGTGTGATCGTGTGTGTAGTCAGTGTGTGATCGTGTGTGTAGTCAGTGTGTGATTGTGTGTGTAGTCAGTGTGTGATTGTGTGTGTAGTCAGTGTGTGATCGGGTGTGTAGTCAGTGTGTGATCGTGTGTGTAGTCAGTGTGTGATTGTGTGTGTAGTCAGTGTATGATCGTGTGTGTAGCCAGTGTGTGATCGTGTGTGTAGTCAGTGTGTGATCGTGTGTGTAGTCAGTGTGTGATCGTGTGTGTAGTCAGTGTGTGATCGTGTGTGTAGTCAGTGTGTGATCGTGTGTGTAGTCAGTGTGTGATCGTGTGTGTAGTCAGTGTGTGATCGTGTGTGTAGTCAGTGTGTGATCGTGTATGTAGTCAGTGTGTGATCGTGTGTGTGTAGTCAGTGTGTGATCGTGTGTGTAGTCAGTGTGTGATCGTGTGTGTAGTCAGTGTGTGATGGTGTGTGTGTAGTCAGTGTGTGATCGTGTGTGTAGTCAGTGTGTGATCGTGTGTGTAGTCAGTGTGTGATCGTGTGTGTAGTCAGTGTGTGATCGTGTGTACGTAGTCAGTGTGTGATCGTGTGTGTAGTCAGTGTGTGATCGTGTGTGTAGTCAGTGTGTGATGGTGTGTGTGTAGTCAGTGTGTGATCGTGTGTGTAGTCAGTGTGTGATCGTGTGTGTAGTCAGTGTGTGATCGTGTGTGTAGTCAGTGTGTGATCGTGTGTGTAGTCAGTGTGTGATCGTGTGTGTAGTCAGTGTGTGATCGTGTGTGTAGTCAGTGTGTGATCGTGTGTGTAGTCAGTGTGTGATCGTGTGTGTAGTCAGTGTGTGATCGTGTGTGTAGTCAGTGTGTGATCGTGTATGTAGTCAGTGTGTGATCGTGTGTGTGTAGTCAGTGTGTGATCGTGTGTGTAGTCAGTGTGTGATCGTGTATGTAGTCAGTGTGTGATCGTGTGTGTGTAGTCAGTGTGTGATCGTGTGTGTAGTCAGTGTGTGATCGTGTGTGTAGTCAGTGTGTGATGGTGTGTGTGTAGTCAGTGTGTGATCGTGTGTGTGTAGTCAGTGTGTGATCGTGTGTGCGTAGTCAGTGTGTGATCGTGTGTGTAGTCAGTGTGTGATCGTGTGTGTAGTCAGTGTGTGATCGTGTGTGTAGTCAGTGTGTGATCGTGTGTGTAGTCAGTGTGTGATGGTGTGTGTGTAGTCAGTGTGTGATCGTGTGTGTAGTCAGTGTGTGATCGTGTGTGTAGTCAGTGTGTGATCGTGTGTGTAGTCAGTGTGTGATCGTGTGTGTAGTCAGTGTGTGATCGTGTGTGTAGTCAGTGTGTGATCGTGTGTGTAGTCAGTGTGTGATCGTGTGTGTAGTCAGTGTGTGATCGTGTGTGTAGTCAGTGTGTGATCGTGTGTGTAGTCAGTGTGTGATCGTGTGTGTAGTCAGTGTGTGATCGTGTGTGTAGTCAGTGTGTGATCGTGTGTGTAGTCAGTGTGTGATCGTGTATGTAGTCAGTGTGTGATCGTGTGTGTGTAGTCAGTGTGTGATCGTGTGTGTAGTCAGTGTGTGATCGTGTGTGTAGTCAGTGTGTGATGGTGTGTGTGTAGTCAGTGTGTGATCGTGTGTGTAGTCAGTGTGTGATCGTGTGTGTAGTCAGTGTGTGATCGTGTGTGTAGTCAGTGTGTGATCGTGTGTGTGTAGTCAGTGTGTGATCGTGTGTGTGTAGTCAGTGTGTGATCGTGTGTGTAGTCAGTGTGTGATCGTGTGTGTAGTCAGTGTGTGATCGTGTGTGTAGTCAGTGTGTGATCGTGTGTGTAGTCAGTGTGTGATCGTGTGTGTAGTCAGTGTGTGATCGTGTGTGTAGTCAGTGTGTGATCGTGTGTGTGTAGTCAGTGTGTGATGGTGTGTGTGTAGTCAGTGTGTGATCGTGTGTGTAGTCAGTGTGTGATCGTGTGTGTAGTCAGTGTGTGATCGTGTGTGTAGTCAGTGTGTGATCGTGTGTGTAGTCAGTGTGTGATCGTGTGTGTAGTCAGTGTGTGATCGTGTGTGTAGTCAGTGTGTGATCGTGTGTGTGATCGTGTGTGTAGTCAGTGTGTGATCGTGTGTGTAGTCAGTGTGTGATCGTGTATGTAGTCAGTGTGTGATCGTGTGTGTAGTCAGTGTGTGATCGTGTGTGTGATCGTGTGTGTAGTCAGTGTGTGATGGTGTGTGTGTAGTCAGTGTGTGATCGTGTGTGATCGTGTGTGTAGTCAGTGTGTGATCGTGTGTGTAGTCAGTGTGTGATTGTGTGTGTAGTCAGTGTGTGATCGTGTGTGTAGTCAGTGTGTGATCGTGTGTGTAGTCAGTGTGTGATCGTGTGTGTAGTCAGTGTGTGATCGTGTGTGTAGCCAGTGTGTGATCGTGTGTGTAGTCAGTGTGTGATTGTGTGTGTGTAGTCAGTGTGTGATCGTGTGTGTGTAGTCAGTGTGTGATCGTGTGTGTAGTCAGTGTGTGATCGTGTGTTTAGTCAGTGTGTGATTGTGTGTGTGTAGTCAGTGTGTGATCGTGTGTGTGTAGTCAGTGTGTGATCGTGTGTGTAGTCAGTGTGTGATCGTGTGTGTAGTCAGTGTGTGATGGTGTGTGTGTAGTCAGTGTGTGATCGTCTGTGTAGTCAGTGTGTGATCGTGTGTGTAGTCAGTGTGTGATCGTGTGTGTAGTCAGTGTGTGATCATGTGTGTAGTCAGTGTGTGATTGTATGTGTAGTCAGTGTGTGATCGTGTGTGTAGTCAGTGTGTGATCGTGTGTGTAGTCAGTGTGTGATCGTGTGTGTAGCCAGTGTGTGATCGTGTGTGTAGTCAGTGTGTGATCGTGTGTGTAGTCAGTGTGTGATCGTGTGTGTAGTCAGTGTGTGATCGTGTATGTAGTCAGTGTGTGATCGTGTGTGTAGTCAGTGTGTGATCGTGTGTAGTCAGTGTGTGATCGTGTGTGTAGTCAGTGTGTGATCGTGTGTGTAGTCAGTGTGTGATCGTGTGTGTGTAGCCAGTGTGTGTGTAGTCAGTGTGTGTAGTCAGTGTGTGATCGTGTGTGTAGTCAGTGTGTGATCGTGTGTGTAGTCAGGGCTGATGTCACGGTCCACTCTGACCTTACAGTGACCAGGCGCTGCAGTGGATTGTGGGAAAAGTGGCCTGCCTTGATCTGAAAGCATGACTCTGCAGAACTCGTGCCTGAGAGTCATATGAGCCTCTCCTCATCAGAACAGACAGACTTTGGTTTATCCTTCTTCCCCTTCATCCATCTCTGGGTGGGGGCGGCAGTCAGAGTCCACAGGAGCCTTGATCTGTCAGTGGGGCTTCAGGCAAAGTAGGGTTAAGTGTCTTGCCCAAGGGCACCATGACAGCAGACATCAGTGGGAGTTGTGGGGGATTGAACCCACAACCTTCAATTCACTTTATTCTTGTATCGCTCTAAATCACAACAGTAAAGACACAAACAACATAGAACAGGCTCAATGCTCTGCCAACTGTACCACTGTACCTCTGTACCTCTGTACCTCTGTACCACTGTACCTCTGTACCACTGTACCTCTGTACCTCTGTACCTCTGTACCACTGTACCACTGTACCACTGTACCACTGTACCACTGTACCTCTGTACCTCTGTACCTCTGTACCACTGTACCTCTGTACCTCTGTACCTCTGTACCACTGTACCACTGTACCACTGTACCTCTGTACCTCTGTACCTCTGTACCACTGTACCTCTGTACCTCTGTACCACTGTACCTCTGTACCTCTGTACCTCTGTACCACTGTACCTCTGTACCTCTGTACCTCTGTACCACTGTACCACTGTACCTCTGTACCACTGTACCTCTGTACCACTGTACCACTGTACCACTGTACCTCTGTACCTCTGTAC